TTACCTTTACTTGTGAGGGCAAACGCCTTTAAGGGTGTGCCTCTGTCCATCTTCTGCGAGGCAGGGCTTCCTTCTGCACAGCTTGGGCCCCATCTCCTTTTGCTCATCTTCATCCAGCAGACTTGGTAGAAGCTTTCAGCCTTAGTTCTCCAGCCTAACCCTCACCTACGGGTGGAGGCCTGAGGAAGAAGAACTTGGGGTGACCCTAGTGACTTGGCCCTTGTTGCCTTTCAGACGATGGTGCTAGCCAGCGGGGGCCAGGATGGGGCCATCTGCCTCTGGGATGTGCTGACGGGCAGCAGGGTGAGCCACATGTTTGCCCACCGCGGGGATGTCACCTCCCTGACTTGCACTACCTCCTGCGTCATCAGCAGCGGCCTGGACGACGTCATCAGCATCTGGGACCGAAGCTCCGGGATCAAGCACTATTCCATTCAGCAGGTATGCGGCTGGGGGACCCTTCCTCAGACAAGGCTTTTTAATCTCTCTGCCGGCTGCCGGGAAGAATAGTGGTGGCAATTAGGCTGTGCTGCTTGGATGAGGCAGCGAGGTCCAGTAGCACTCCTGTTGTCCTGGCAACCTCCCAACCATTCTGTAGTAATGCGCTGAATGTGGGGCTGCCTTTGAAGATGGCGCAGAAGCTTCCATGAGTCAAGGAAGAGTTTTAATGGCTCTGTGACGAGGGTTCCGCCTGTTGCCATTTTGTTTCTGACCTAGATTCAAGGCACAGGGCCTTTTAAAGACTTTGTATGGCCCAGATCACCCAGAGATTTGGAGTGTGTTGAGTAATCAGTCTGCTGGTGGCGCACAGCTCTGTTCTCCTTTCTTTGTTTCTCCACAACTCTGGGGTGGTGTTTGTTCTATAATAGGCTGGATGAGAGCCATTAAATTGAAGCTGAGACAAGGCACTGCTCGTGGTTGGGTCCCTAGACTGGCTTCCCCCATAGCATGAGGTGTGCAGCATGGGGCACTTCTAGGTCCACTTCTGTCGCTCAAAACACAAGTGGCCTCATCTGCACAAAGTTCCTCCATCAGTTTCAGCTGGTGGCTCAGCTGTAACCCTGTGTGGGCATGGATAATTTAGCTGCAGTTGTCTAGGCTGCGTTACCATCCAGGTTGGAGTGCTGCAATATGTGGGGCTGTCTTTTGAAGACCGTTCTGAAACTTACAGCTACGGCAGGATCCAGCAGCCAGACTTTTAACTGAGACCAGAAGGTCTGAACATATTACACCAGTTCTGGCCTGACTACACTGGCTGTGGAGTAGTTCATGGGTTCAGTTCCAAGTTCTGGTTTTGACCTTTAAAGCCCCGTGTGGCTCATGACCACAATATCTCAAGGATCACCTCTCCCTGCATGAAGCATCCCAGACCCTGCTGGTCTTCATCAGGGGCCCTTCTGTGGGTGCCCCACCCGAGTGGGGTGCAGAGAGTGGCCTTTTCAGTGGTGGCCTCCTGTCTGTGGAATGCTTGTCAGTCTTTAGGCCCCAGGCAAAGACCTTTTGGTTTACCCAGGTCATAAAGCTGCCTCCTGCGGTGGTGCTTTGTGTATTTAGTGTTCATTGTTTGACATTTTCCTGTTCTTTAAAGTCTGAAAAATGTAGTCGTAATAGATCCAGGTTAACGGAAGGAGAGTTGTGTTCCCTCCCTTTATATTTGTGCCTGTTCACTGAAGTTTGCCAGTGAGACCCGCTTGCAGGTGCCCCTTTGCCAGATTATCCGCAGTGGCTGCTAGGGCTCTTTCAGGATCAGCCCTGCAATTGTGGCCTCTACACTAGACATACCCAGGTCTCCTTAGGATTAGTTTAGACCAGGCTTCCTCAACCTCGGCCCTCCAGATGTTTTGAGAATACAATTCCCAGCATCCCTGACCACTGGTCCTGCTAGCTAGGGATGATGGGAGTTGTAGTCCCAAAACATCTGGAGGGCCGAGGTTGAGGAAGCCTGCTTTGTTGTTGTTTAGTCATTTAGTTGTGTCTGACTCTTCGTGACCCCCTTACAGTGGTACCTCGGGTTAAGAACTTAATTCATTCTGGAAGTCCGTTCTTAACCTGAAGCTGTTCTTAACCTGAGGTACCACTTTAGCTAATGGGGCCTCCTGCTGCTGCTGTGCCGCTGCCGCACGATTTCTGTTCTCATCCTGAAGCAAAGTTCTTAACCCGAGGTACTATTTCTGGGTTAGCGGAGTCTGTAACCTGAAGCGTATGTAACCCGAGGTACCACTGTACTAATTGCACCTTGAGGGTGGCTGTGACACACGTTCTGATGCCAGAAGTTGCCTGTAATCCGCGCCTCTGGTGCTGTGGACACACATGGCAAAGATTAGCCCCACGTATCTCATGACAGGCTCCGTTCAGCCCCACCTCCCCTTCTCACCCTCTTTCCATTTGCTCTCTGCACAGGATATGGGATGCGGGGCCAGCCTGGGAGTGATCTCTGACAACCTGCTGGTGACCGGAGGCCAGGGCTGCGTTTCTTTCTGGGACATCGGCTACGGAGACCTGCTGCAGACAGTCTACCTGGGCAAGAGCAATGAATCGCAGCCCGCCCGGCAGATCCTGGTCCTGGAAAACGCGGCCATCGTCTGTAACTTTGGCAGCGAACTCAGCCTGGTCTACGTCCCGTCAGTCCTGGAGAAGCGAGACTGAAGCAGGATCTTGCCGACAGGCCAGAAATGACCCCCTCAACCTTCCGATTTTCTAACTAGGAGGGGCAGGGATCAGGGCAGTCTCTTGGGGAGCAGAGAGAGCCGCTGCCTCTCCCCATCTTCCAGCAGTTCCTTTTTCTTTCCCCGGTCTGGATTTTAACAGGGTGGAAGAGAAGGCGGCTGACATCCGCAGGGTTTGAGCAAGGGGGTGGTTTTCTCCATGCTCACAATAAGCTAAGAAGAACCCAGCACCAGAGGACTGTGGAGGTAGAATACCCTGCTGTGGTTGGGTGTGAGCAAGCGCTGAGATTGTGGGCTGAGGGAAAGACCCTCCGTCAAAGCCCCACCTCCCACTTGCAATCTATAAAAGGGAGAGGGGTGTGTGAGGATGGGGCTGCACCCCCAATAAGTCTTTTGCTCTGGCTGCTGTGCCCAACGCCTCCCTCGAAGGTCTGTCGCTGCAGGAGCTCTTTGCACATGCCCGTGAGAGCTCCTGCTGGACGGGATGTGTTCGTGTGTGGCCTCCTGAGGCGCAGCGATAGCAAGGAACAGCTGCTTCAGTGCTATTGCTCCACACACACCACCCTCCTCCTTCCTGAGCTCCATCCTTCCTCCCTCTGGCAGGCACTGCTTCTGTCCCACACTTTGAAGGAGAAAAAACTGGGCTGGCTGCTGTGCTGGGACTCCAACCCCTGGGCAGGTGGAGGTGGGTGGGTGGGATTTTTGGGAAGCTGTTTTCCTAGAGGGAAAGAGAGCTGGCACACCGAGAGCCTGTGAGGCCTCTCCAGCTGCAGTAGCCCTGGGATAGCTGTCCTACCGATGTCACAGTCCTCGTGGCAGCCGCCTCCTCCTCCTCCGGCCTGCTAGGGGAAAGGGTAGGCATACTGGGCTACCTGCCATATTTATTGATGTGCTGTACATAGTTATTTATTCTGGCATGCAAGCGTGAGGGGAGTGGGGAAGCTTGAACTCCCAGGAGCGGAAGGCCTCTGCACCACCTGCTCACGTCCCCTCCCTCTGCATCAGCCAGGATTGGGCCAGTGAAGGGGCTGCAGGCGGCTGTTCTGCAACGGCTAGAGGTAGCTTTGTACTGTGGAGAGAAAGTGGGGGGCAGGCTTCTGCGCCCAACACTGAGGTGGGCGTCTCCGCCTCCTCTCGTGTCCCAGCCTGCCAGAATATCCCTGCTTTTTACACAACTCCAAGAGGGAGATAGATGAACGGTTTGCCAGAGCAGCAATGGCTGCAGCTTCGGGGCCAGTGGCAGACCTTGGAGTCTCAAATTTCAGTGGTGCCCTTTCCAGCGCCAAAATTCAGACTTCCCTCGCCTTCCATTCTGCGTAATAGTTGCAGCACCCCCCTAAATCCACAGCAGAGTGCGCAACTTTTATTTTTGGGTGCGCTGGGCTGCAGCTCTGGGAGGAAAGAAAGCGAAAGAGCAAGGGAAGGAACAGAGGTAGCAGAGACACAGAAAAATGGAGGAAGAGCTGCTGGAACAAGCAACGCTTTTGAAACGGTAATACCATTAATTGACTGTCTAGTTCACGATGTTTTTACTTTAGCATCTCCTGCCGTAGGAGCCCTGTGCACTGTACGCTACTCAAGGGAGCTGGGGGGGGATTAACCTGCTGTATTCTGTTTGTCCCACTGCCCCAAGCTTGGCAGGGGCAAGAGACTACTTTGCAATGCTGGCCAGTGGAGGCCCATTCAGGGCCTCAAAGCACCCCCCCCGGCCCCCTTGCGCCTGCTGCTTCCTCTTGGGTCGTCGTCCGTGTCCACACCATGCCTCAGGTGGCCTTAGCTCTGCTGTGCTCTTTGGACTGTACAGCGGCAGCTGCTTTTGTACCAGATTGTGTTTTATAATGTGTACAGAGACAGACACATTAAACAGAACTAACTTAATGCCTCTCCTGTGTGTTTTGCGGAGTAGCAGGGAAAGGGAATCTAGCCCAAAATTAGCAAGCCGTAACCAAAACATAAGATTGGGGGGCGGGAGGGGGAACCTGCCATACAGCAAGCCCAGAACTGACCACAGTGAGGCCTCTTCCTGGTGTGTTGTCCTTTGCAATAGCTCACACTCGGAATCTTTGAGACCCCGCTGCAAAGGGTTGACCCCAATCAAGACGACTACTGGACGTAGAATCTTGTTTTCTTTTTCTTTTTTCAAATCATTGTCGTTTGCACCGAACACAGGCTGTCTGCAAAACAGAGCGGTTGGGGGAGCTGCTTCTGCCCCACCTGTGAAGAACACACTACACTCACCCCACAAATCTCACTCGCACTGCAGCAGAACACCATTCACATGAAGACCCTGACTAAGCACATTAAAGAAGTTGGCATGATCTATTGAGCAAACGGTTCTCTTTGTGTAGCTGACTTTAATGCAAACCTTATAAAAAGCAAGTGATATACCTTGCATACAATTTTTGTGGGCAACTTAGTTTTTTTAAAAAAAAAACCCAAACCAAAATAGATATGAGAGAAAAGGCATTGCTTTCTATTGCATGCTGCTAACGTATCTTAAGGCCCAACAGCTGCGCAACCCCCACCAGCCCAAAAAAACCTTCTCATCATAAAACACTTCTGCAAATTAATTATCTTAGCGCCAAAAAGTTACACACTCCTTTTGCTATATTCAGATACTTGCAAACTGAAATGCAGCCCCCTCTGCCGCTTTTGACAAAATCATCCATCTGCAATGCTCCCGTTTATTTATTGCAATGGATCCATCTGCAATGCTCCCGTTTATTTATTTTAGTAGCAAAGAGCTGAAAAAAGTTGGTTCTAAATTACAGAGTAAGTCGAAACAGGACGACAATGTTACATTTGTACAAAGCAAAAAACAACCCAGAAACCCACCAAGACCTGGCCCCTCTCCCACCTTAACCCTCCTGCCTTCATGAAGATGGTCCTTTAAACCGAGGGAGCTGATGGAAAGAGCAAATGTTTAGGGGGGGAAATGGACATTTAAGCATTCCCATTCATTTAATGATCTGCCTTCATATGGCCACAGTTGGGCGGCATTGTTAAGGAAGCACACCGCTGCAAGGACCCAAGCTGGCTCAGTTAACACACAGTCCTCCTTTACTGCCCATAGTGTTGCAGGGTTACTCCTTATGTTTGATGCCATCACCTGTCTTTTGGGCACAGGAGGCACAGCTCTTGCCCCTTTGTAAAAGACCATCAGGCACACTGATGATCCAAATTAACCACATAAAGGGGCTTCTGCATTTTTTGGTGAACTATTTGGAACAGCTCAGTCTTGTCAATCACCACTCCAAGGCTGCTGGGTGACTTGACACGGCCTCTGAGCTAAGACAGGGATCCCTCACTGGAATGTAAGGGCAACAAAATGCAACCGGCCTGGCCAAACAAGAAATGGAAGGTGGAGCCGGCAAGACATGGGAGCAGCTTTGGAGGCTGCTGCTGAGAAAGCACGTCTCCTGCACCTTCGCCTAGCAGCTAAGAAGACACTCCACGCACCTTTCATGCAAGCCGATCAAAGGTAGCTGCTTGGTCCCAAATGGGCTCTCGCCAGCTCAAAGAGGGTTGGTTGGGTCTTGGATACCCCATTCAGAGTGGAGGTCAGTAGACGGGAGCAAAAGGGGGTCTTGCCAGAGGCAGTTTAAGGAGCAGAGGACGACGTAGGAGGCCTGAAGTGCTACATCTCAAAGCCTTGGGAATACCAAGGGTGGCAGCAGGGGGTGGGAGTCGAAGCCCTTTAGCTGACGATGCCAGGAACTAGTCCACCTAGGACAGGGTTACCTTGGCTGTGTTTCAAAACCTTCCTCTGGTCGGGAAAATCACCTCGGGGGGCTTCTCCAGCTGGGTAACCACCTATGTCTGCAGTGAAAATCAAACCGCATGTCCCGCTCCGTCCAAACCGCCTCCCGTGATTCCTGCCCCTCCAAAGGCCAACTTACAGATTCCGTCCTTCCCATGGCACTTGGAGGCAGGCACAAAGCGGGAGAAAGGAACAACCGGCTCAGAAAAATCCTGCTGCACGCCTCCAGCCGTTCAGACACAGCCGGTGGGAAACTGAAGTGGCGGGAGAGGGGAAAAAAGGACGCAAGTCGAGTGGGCACTGCGTGGCTCCTGGCGCAGCGGAGGCTTCCTGGCTGTGGCCAGTCTTGAAAAGCTGCATGCTGAGGAGAGTGCGAACCAGCCACCTTTCCCCCCTCGCCCTCCCAAGTTTCTAGTCCTCAAAATGCATCGGTGGTGGCGTTAGCAGCAGCAGCAGAGTCCCGGGTCGATGTGACGCCCTCCTTCCTCTCATGTCTTGTTGAGTGTCCACAGCGGGTCAAGCATGCTGAGGGGGTCGTCGCTGGGGCGGGTGCCGCGCAGGCCTTCCCCGTTCTGGGGATGGAGGAAGCTCTGCTTGCTGACCTTGTGCCTGCCCTTGAGGCTGCTGTCCAGCGTGAAGGCCTCGGGGGTCAGCGAGGCCAGGAGCTCCAGGGACGAGGACGACGGGGCCGTGGCCGGAGCGGCGGAGGGCTCTGCGCCAGGAGGCGCCGGCGGGACTTCGCTCTCTTCCTGACTCTCCTCTTCCAGATGGTTGCTGTTCTCGGCCGCGCAGCACCCAGCAGCCTCCAGCGCCGCGGGGGCAGGGGTGGCTGGCAGGGAGAGCGTGGGGGCCGGCTCTGTGCTGGTAACGGGGCAGCCGAGATCGGCAAAGGCGGTCTGAGGGGGGCCGGCAGGGGGCGCTGGGACGGCCAAGGGCAGGGGCTCCGGCTGCTGCCCGTTGGCGGACGAGGGCTCTGCCCCTCCCAAGGGAGGCCGGATGCTGAGCTTGGCGATGGTGGCCTGGATGGAGCTGATGGGCATGTCGGCACCCAGGACCAGATCCTGGGGGTCCTGGTGGATATAGGGCTAGAGGGAAAGGAAGAGCAGCTTAGTGGGCGCAGCAAGCATCCCTTCACAAGGCCCTGTGAGAAGGGGGTGATCTTTACGCCTTTATATCTGTGGGAGATGCCCAAAGATTACATTTCCCATTTTTAAACGGAAATTCCCTTATTCCGAATAGGAATATGACCCAGAGTGGTTGGGGCAACCCAGTCTGAGGGGCGGGGGTGCAACTAATAAAATTATCATTATTCACCTGTCTTTCACCCTAAGGTCCCAGGGCATGTTAGGGCGACTTAAAATACAGTAGGATACAACACTGATTTTACTTGCACGATAGCAGCTTCATGCAGATCGTCAGTAAATAATATTACTATTTATTAAATTTGTATGCCACCCTACATCTGTAGATCTTAGGGCAGTTCACAATGTAAAAATAACAATAAAAAACCCCACAAAATGCATAATAAAAATATGAACAGAACAAACCCAAAATCTCTCTCCCGGAGCACATTTTAAAAAGGCATTGTATATCAATTGGCCAAATGCCTTATTGGGGAGGAAATAAATGGGGAGAGAGGGACAGCCTTGCTTACTGAGCTCTGGAGGAGCTTGAAAGGAGGACTCCAGAGCCTGGAAGCTCTGCGAAGGGTATTCTCACTGCAGAAAGTGCTTTTAAGCTCTCAGCCTTTGCGAGTTTGCCTTTATGCGCAACTTTTGGGCACGTAGTCCTCACACAAGTTGCATTCACACCGTACTGAGGTCCAGCTCCGAGGGCCTTCTGGGCGGTTCCCTCATTGCGAGAAGCCAATTACAAGGAACCAGGCTGAGGGCCTTTTCGGTGGTGGCAACCCGCCCTCTCATCAGATGTCAAAGAGAAAAACAACTACCTGACATTTAGAAGACACCTGAAGGCAGCCCTGTTTAGGGACGTTAATGTGTGTCATTTTAATGTATTCTTAATCTTGTTGGAAGCCGCCCAGAGTGGCTGGGGAAACCCAGCCAGATGGGGGTGTGTGTGCAAATAATAAATTATTACTATTACTACTGCTGCTGCTGCTGCTACTACTACTATTATTATTAATATTATTATTATTATTTCCAGTCTGTCTTCCCAAAAGAGATGCAATTTCTTGTGTCATGGGATGCATTTGATAAGGCAGCCTCTCCTACTATTTAAAATTTCTAACCATTGACCAAACGTGGGCTTTCAAAATGGCAGGGACGGCTGCTGCTGCTGCACCCCCTTGCCAGAATTAATCCAGCCAAGCCCAAGCAAGATTTTTCTGAGAGAGAACACTATGCCCAAGTCATCCCAGATACAGGAGAGACAGCTGCGAGGGCACAGGAGCAAAGGAACGGCGCTCTGCACATGGCCAGAAACCTCTTTAAACGTTCTCCTATGACATTTCGCCACCCCACTCCTGTTTCTGTGCTAGCGGAAGGACTCTCCACCCACGCCTGCCCTCGGATGCACCCTACCTTCTGGGCAGCGCTGCTGGCAGGCTTGCTGGCGGAGGGCGCCGTGACCCCGTGTCTCTGCAGCACCAGCTTGGCATGCTTCAGGAGAGACTCGTAGCAGAACTTGAGGTGGAGCTGGAAGAGGAGGAGCAGCCAGGATTGAGGGCCAGACCTTTCACCTAAATGCATTTGGATCCCACTTTTTCTCAAGGCGGCTTACGGCATTCGGGAAAAGCCTCATTGCAAGGGCTTGGGCTGGATGACCCTTTGGGTCCCTGGTCCCATGCTACAGTTCCCTGATTCCATGAGGAACATCATTGTAAAATGCAAAACCCAGTTAAAAAGAGTGGTTTACAGCACAATAAAGCACATTCAGAGCCAGCAATTGAGAGACCAATTGCAGGCCAGTTGTCCACATGGTCTGTCCATGGTTTTGGAAGGTCTGTCCAAATAGGGAGGTCTTAAACCTACTGGGACGTGGGTGGCGCTGTGGGTTAAATCACAGAGCCTAGGACTTGCTGATCAGAAGGTCAGCGGTTCGAATCCCCGCAACGGGGTGAGCTCCCATTGTTCGGTCCCTGCTGCTGCCAACCTAGCAGTTTGAAAGCACATCAAAGTGCAAGTAGATAAATAGGTAAACGGCATTTCCGTGCGCTGCTCTGGTTTGCCAGAAGCGGCTTAGTCCTGCTGGCCACATGACTCGGAAGCTGTATGCCGGCTCCCTCGGCCAATAAAGCGAGATGAGCGCCGCAACCCCAGAGTCGTCTGCGACTGGACCTAATGGTCAGGGGTCCCTTAACCTTTACCTTTAAAGGTAAAGGTACCCCTGCCCGTACGGGCCAGTCTTGACAGACTCTAGGGTTGTGCGCCCATCTCACTCAAGAGGCCGTGAGCCGGTGCCGTCCGCAGACACTTCCGGGTCACGTGGCCAGCGTGACATCACTGCTCTGGCGAGCCAGCACCAGCGCAGCACACGGAAACGCCATTTACCTTCCTGCTTTAAAGCGGTACCTATTTATCTACTTGCACTTAGGGGTGCTTTCGAACTGCTAGGTGGGCAGGCGCTGGGACCGAACGACGGGAGCTCACCCCGCCGCGGGGATTCGAACCGCCGACCATGCGATCGGCAAGCCCTAGGCGCTGAGGATTTACCCACAGCGCCACCCGCGTCTCCTAACCTTTACCTTTACAGCACAATAAAACACATTCAGAGCCAGCAATTGAGAGACCAATTGTAGGCCAGTTGTCAACATGGTGCACACTTGTTTTGAAGGTCTTTCTAAATAGGGAGGTCTTAAACCTACTTGGGGGAAAGATCACAAGGAGGGAGCCAGTCAGACCTCTCTTGGGAGGGAATTGCCAATATGGGAACGGTCACAGAAAAGGCTGCCTCTCGTCTTACCAAGCAACCGGGCCTCAAATGTCGATGCGACCTGGACAAGGCTCACACCCAAGGACCTTAGCACCCAGCCAATATCTTTTATGTGACCCAAGGCTCATGGGCGTCACCCACGGCAGCTCCACCCGCACCCCACGCCCCGTACCTTCTCCTGCAGCATGTGCTTCCTCTGCTGGCGGATCTTCTTCACCAGCTGGGGCAAGTCTGGGATGCTGTTGCCGGCCTCCACTTCCTGCATGGCGGCGTACAAGAGGCAGAAGGCGCCGGTGCGGCCCACGCCAGAGCTGTGGGGGATGCAGAAGATGAACAAGGTGCAGAAGAGGAACAGAAGAGGAACAAGTTCAGCAACAGCTACAGACCCAAGTTTGAGAAACTATGGGCTTTCTCCATGCAGGGCACAATTTTTACAAACGTCTTGTCGTGTTGCCTCTTACTTGCCTTTCCTCTAGAACAGCCTTTCTCAACCATGTGGTTGAACTACAACTCCCATCACCCCTAGCTAGCAAGGCCAGAGCTCAGGGATGATGGAAGTTGTAGTCCAACAACATCTGGGGACCCACAGGTTGAGAACCGCTGCTCTGGAAAGTCCCAAGCACTGCAATTGTTCCTCTGTTCCCTCGATCATTTTGCTCACCCTTTTCTGAAACCTTTTCCAACCCTACAATTTCCTTTTTGATACAGTGGTACCTCGAGTTACAGACGCTTCAGGTTACAGACTCTGCTAACGCAGAAATAGTGCTTCAGGTTAAGAACTTTGCTTCAGGATGAGAACAGAAATCATGCTCCAGCAGCGTGGCAGCAGCAGGAGGCCCCATTAGCTAAAGTGGTACTTCAGGTTAAGAACAGTTTCAGGTTAAGAATGCACCTCCGGAACGAATTAAGTACTTAACCTGAGGTATCACTGTACTGGACGTGGGTGGCGCTGTGGGTTAAACCACAGAACCTAGGACTTGCCGATCAGAAGGTTGGTGGTTTGAATCTCCGCGACGGGGTGAGCTCCCGTTGCTCGGTCCCTGCTCCTGCCAACCTAGCAGTTTGAAAGCACATCAAAGTGCAAGTAGATAAATAGGTACCACTCCGGCGGGAAGGTGAACGGTGTTTCCGTGCGCTGCTCTGGTTCGCCAGAAGTGGCTTTGTGATGCTGGCCACATGACCCGGAAGCTGTATGCCGGCTCCCTCGGCCAAATGAGCGCCCAAGCCAGATGAGCGCCGCAACCCCAAAGTCGTCCGCGACTGGATCTAATGGTCAGGGGTCCCTTTACCTTACTGCTTTTTCAGGCACTCCAGCTACAATTATCAGGTGGCAGGGCACAGGCAACAATACACGGCCACTTGCAACGAAGCCATCGTGGCAGAGGGGCCCATAGCTGCCACTTTTGGGCTTGACGGGTTATTGGTCTGACGCACTGCGAGGCTCCGAGTCTGCTTTCCAAGTCTGGCCGTTGCTCACCTGCAATGGACGACGATGGGGGTGTGGAGCGGCCGCTGGTGGAGGTAATGGCTGTGCACCTCCTGAATGAAGCGAAGAAGGTCCCCTTTGCTGTCCGGGAGGCCACTGAAGGAAGGGGAAGGAGGGAGAGAGAGAGAGAAAGAAAAATGAAGCAAGCATCTTTGCAAAAAGGATTTTGCTGCCACTTGCCAGCTCCACCGCCACCCTCCCAGATGATCCCTGTTCCTCTAGTTCAGTCTTTCTCGAACTTGGGTCCCCGGCTGTCCTTTGCAGGAGCCAGCCAGCAGTAAATGATGCCTTGCAAGTTGGAGTTAACGCCTTATTAGCAAAAACAGGACCTGCACAGGAGGGATGGGTGCACAGAAGGGACGCGGGTGGCGCAAGGAAAGTGGGTGGCACTGTGGTCTAAACCACAGAGCCTAGGGCTTCCCGATCAGAAGGTTAGCGGTTCGAATCCCCACAACGGGGTGAGCTCCTGTTGCTCGGTCCCTGCTCCCGCCAACCTAGCAGTTCGAAAGCACGTTAAAGCGCAAGTAGATAAATAGGTACTGCTCTGGCGAGAAGGTAAACGGCGTTTCCGTGCGCTGCTCTGGTTCGCCAGAAGCGGCTTAGTCCTGCTGGCCACATGACCCGGAAGCTGTACGCCAGCTCCCTCGGCCAGTAAAGCGAGATGAGCGCCGCAACCCCAGAGTCGGTCACGACTGGACCTAATGGTCAGGGGTCCCTTTATCTTTACCTAGCAAAAACAAGACCTGCACAGGAGCACCAGGGCTAATGAGTAAATGGAAAGCTGAAACAATCCCAAGGATGATTGGATATGTAAAATGAGTGAATATATACAGTTGGCAAAACAAACAGCAGGCATAAGATTACAGGTCAAATCAAAAATTGAAACTAGAATGGCAATGCTTTAAAGAATACATGGAAAAACACTGTTAAAAAAAGAGTGTGTTGCTATGCATAGATTAAGGTTGTAGAGTATACGAGAGGGAGATATTTGGATATAAGATATCCAATTCCAATGGATATATTAGGAATGCAATGCTAATATTTAATATATTTAATATAAGACATAAAGCAGTGGTTCTCAACCTTGGGTCCCCAGATGTTGTTGGACTACAACTCCCATCATCCCTAGCTCACAGGACCAGTGGTCAGGAATCGAGACGTGGTGGAGGAGAGTCATGGGTGGGGGTGTGTGTACTTATGTACTGTCAAATATTTCTGTGTATTTCTGATTTACATCTGTTTATTGCAGGTTTTCTGTTCCTTTTTCTAATAAAAAGAAAAGACAAGACCATCTCCGGTAGGTCTGACTCCCATGAAGCAGTTGCGGACAGAAAATCCGCACCGCAACATAGCTGCCGAAATCTCCTGCTCTCCAGGGCTGTTCCCAAGCAATCTGAGACTATGCCAGTGCACCTGGCCTTTGCTCCTCCCACTTCATGCCTCCCCTAGTCCTGGGAGACAAGCAGAGAAGGGGAGCTTGTCACAGCAGAAGTGGGAGACACCCATGACTCTCCACCAGCCTGACTCATTTCTGCCTTTCTCTTCCCACCCTCCTGTTTCAGCTTCGACCTCCAATTCTGGACTTCTCTCTATCACAGACTCTCCCTTCTCACTATGCCCTGTTACCTTTTCAGCTTTTGACACGGACCACTCATAGTCGTCCCGCCACCACTCCCTAGGCTCTGAGCCTCCCCAGCTGGTTCCTCCCACCATCCCCCTGTGTCCAACCAGTCCGTGACATTGCTGGACTACAATTCCCAGCATCCCTGGTCCTGCTAGCTAGGGATGATGGGAGTCGTAGTCCCAACGACAGCTGGCGACCCAAGTTTGAGAAGCACAGCTCTAGCTGGGCCAGGCAAGCGAGGCACAGCCAGGCCCACCCCTCATCCTCAGCCTCTCCCCACCGCCCTCCTCGCGTGGGACAAAATTCACATACAGCTCCGGCCAGGAGGAGAACTGGAGGTGGATAACGGTGCGCTTCAAGCTCTGGTCTCGGAACTGCAGCGTGATCATGCGTTCCACGTGGGTCGGGGTGGCCTTCACGCTGGTGAGGACCAGGGTGAGGAGGCCGTGGACCATGGGCTGGCCCCGCTCCGTGGGGAAGTAGCGGACAACCTTTTGCTGCAGGAGAGAAAGAGAAACGGGGGGATGTCAGGAGGAGAAAAGGAGGGCCAAGGCAGAACACCTCCAGTGTTAACATTTTGGCCTTGCCCCCCCATGGTTAGAAGGCAGCAGGAAGGGGAAAGGGCCCCCCACTGCAAGCCTGAGATCCTGGGGAGCTACCATCAGTTAGAGAAAACAACTTCGGCTCCCCAAACTTTTTGTTTCGTGGTTCCATTACAGTGGTGCCTCGCAAGACGAAATTAATCCGTTCCGCGAGTCTCTTCGTCTTGCGTTTTTTTCGTCTTGCGAAGCACGGCTATTAGCGGCTTAGCGGCTATTAGCGGCTTAGCGGCTTTAAGAAAAAGGAAACAAACTCGCAAGAACTCGCAAGACGTTTCGTCTTGTGAAGCAAGCCCATAGGGAAATTCGTCTTGCGGAATGACTCAAAAAACAGAAAACCCTTTCGTCTAGCGAGCTTTTTGTCTTGCGAGGCATTCGTCTTGCGGGGCACCACTGTAATTCGTCTGCCTGCCCTCCGCTACGAAAAGCATCGTTCAGAATAGTGATTTTGCCTGACCCCACTAAGGAAGATAACACAACACAATTCAAAAGGGTAAAAATGAATTGCATGTCTATTCAAAATCCAATTAAAACTGTTTCAAAAAAACTGAATGAACTTGATCCTGGGATAGCAGCTGTTCCAAGGTCATATACCTCCCCCACCCCAGGTAATCTCCCCACTAGCCGTGCTCTAAGATCCTGCTGTTGGGGCTATGCGGAAGCCACATTTCTTTCATTTATTAAATCTGTATACCACCCTACACCTGCAGATCTCAAGGTGGCTCACAACCTAAAACTAGAATGCATTTACATTCGATGAACTGCAGTTAAGCAAAAGCCGAAACGTCTCAAATTCTTCTGGCCGTGTCTGTGCCTCAAGGCCAACTGTGGTTAATTTATATCAGGCACCCCCAAACTCAGCCCTCCAGATGTTTTGGGACTACAACTCCCATGATCACTAGCTAACAGGGGCAGTGGTCAGGGATGATGGGAATTATAGTCTCAAAACAGCTGGAGGGCTGAGATCGGGAATGCCTGATTTCATACTAAACTATGGCTTAGGACGCAGGTGGCGCTGTGGGTTAAACCACAGAGACTAGGACTTGCTGATCAGAAGGTTCAAATCCCTGCAACAGGGTGCGCTCCCGTTGCTCGGTCCCTGCTCCTGCCAACCTAGCAGTTCGAAATCACACCAGTGCAAGTGGATAAATAGGTACGGCTCTGGCGGGATGGTAAATGGCTTAGTCATGAGCTCCGCAACCCCAGTGTCGGCCACGACTGGACCTAATGGTCAGGGGTCCCTTTAGCTTTAAACTATGGCTTAGCATGATGTAAACACCTGTGGTATTCTATTTAGGGATTTAACAGTTTATGCCCATAAGGCTTTGATGATGAAGCCTGAGCTGTAGGCAAATTCTAAGCATGCGCCTCCTTAGGAACGCAAGTCACTTTTTTTTGTGGTCCATATGCAATACACATTACATTAGAGGAGGATAAAGCATTTGAGTGTCTCCCTCTCTCCTTCCCCCCAAGCTGCAATCACAGGATCTGGTGCACAGGGTCAGAAGCCGGAGACTCTCAGGTTGCTTTAAAAAAACAACAGCAAGTTACTAGTCCCCAGGGCTGGGCAGAAAAGAACATAAAAGTGCAGGGAACATCTGTGGAGATCTGAGTGCAATCCATGGGGGGGGGAAATCACCCTCAACATGATCCCAATAAAGCAGACAGGCCTGCCTCAGACAAGAGACAGTTCAAGAAGGACACTGACAAACTGGAACGTGTCCAGAGGAGGGCAACCAAAATGGTCAAAGGCCTGGAAACGATGCCTTATGAGGAACGGCTAAGGGAGCTGGGCATGTTTAGCCTGGAGAAGAGGAGGTTAAGGGGTGATATGATAGCCATGTTCAAATATATAAAAGGATGTCACATAGAGGAGGGAGAAAGGTTGTTTTCTGCTGCTCCAGAGAAGCGGACACGGAGCAATGGATCCAAACTACAAGAAAGAAGATTCCACCTAAACATTAGGAAGAACTTCCTGACAGGAAGAGCTGTTCGACAGTGGAATTTGCTGCCAAGGAGTGTGGTGGAGTCTCCTTCTTTGGAGGTCTTTAAGCAGAGGCTTGACAACCATATGTCAGGAGTGCTCTGATGGTGTTTCCTGCTTGGCAGGGGGTTGGACTCGATGGCCCTTGTGGTCTAGTCCAACTCTATGATTCTAAGACCACCTGAGTTGCCCCTAAAACCTGAGAAAGTATGTTTAAACCAGAGAAAGACCTACATTGGCTCCCAGTACGTTTCTGAGCACAATTCAAAGTGTTGGTGTTGACCTTTAAAGCCCTAAACGGCCTCAGTTCAGTATACCTGAAGGAGCGTCTCCACCCCCATCGTTCTGCCCGGACACTGAGATCCAGCGCCAAGGGCCTTCTGGCGGTTCCCTCACTGTGAGAAGTGAGGTTATAGGGAACCAGGCAGAGGGCCTTCTCGGTGGTGGCACCCTCCCTGTGGAACGCCCTCCCACCAGATATCAAAGAGAAGAACAACTACCAGACTTCTGGAAGACCTCTGAAGGCAGCCCTGTTTAGGGAAGCTTTTAATGTTTAACAGACTACTGTATTTTAATACTTTGTTGGAGGCCTCCCAGAGTGGCTGGGGAAACCCAGCCAGATGGGCAGGGTATAAATAATAAATTTATTATTATTTTTATTAGTTGTTTTGTTGTTATATTTTTTTATTATTAAATAAAATTTATTAGTATTTTCCACACAACATCCAAAAATAACAAACAACACACAAAAACCAACATTCGAAAAACTAAAAAAGCAACAGCAACTAAACAACAACAAAAAATCCATATCTTACAAGTTAATAATATAAGCTTTAAAAACAACAAAACATTGACTTCCACCAATCCCACAGCACCTCCTTGACCTCTCGTTGCGTCTTCCAGTTTCCTTATCATCTCCATCCTAGCATCTAGGTATAAATCCCTCTTTCTTATCCTTTCACTTCACAAGGTTATTCCAGACTCAGCCAGATTTCTGTCCTCGAACCTTGACTTTTGAGGTATTAATTTAAGCACTCCCATTCTTTTTTTACTTCACTTTTTGGTTTCTTATTATGTCTGTCAATTTAGCTAATTCTATCATCATCATCATCATCATCATCATCATCATCATCATCAAAGTACACTCAACTTGTGACAAACCCTCGGGGCCCCCCCTTGCTCCTTACCTTCTCGATCTCCTGCTCGGAAACCAGCATGACGACGACGGACACTTTCTGCTCGTAGATCATGAGCCAGAAGTCGGAGGCGGTGCCCACCAGGGGGGCCTGGGTAGCGATGATGGTGGGGCAGTAGGAGGAGAGGTCTTCGACGCGGCTGGCGTTGATGTAGTCGTCCTTGCCCGACTGCAGGACGATGCGGTTCTTGTCGTAGGGCATGATGTCCTGGTGGCGGTTCTTCATGGAGTAGCAGCGGGCGATGGCGATGGACAGCTGGCGGGCGTCTTTCTCCTGGGCGTCCTGCAGCTCCTTCCAGACGCCGTCCAGCTCGCTGGCGCTCCCCGAGGAAGGGGCCGGCTTCTCCAGGCCGCCCACCACGTCCTGGAAGCGCTCCAGCTCCGACAGGAGCCGCCGGATGTGTTCGGGCTTCTCGTAGGGGTCCTTCTCGATCAGCTGCACGGCTTTCGGCTTCAGCCCGTCCTTGGCGTCGGCCTTGGTGGGCTGCAGGAGGGGGTGGCCCACCGAGGCCTTGGCGCCCCCGTGCTGGCTCTCGGGGCTGGAGGACAGGAGGTCGTCGGTGGACGAGTTCTGACGGGGGAAGCGGGAGGCGTCGGAGGGGCCCTGCGCAAGTGGGGCGGCCCCGCCGGGCGCCAGAGAGGAGGGGGGCAGCTGCGGGAGAGGCCCCGAGGGGGCAGGAGGGAGGGAGCCGGCAGGGTCAGGGAAGGCTGTGGCGAGGGCGCCGGCGAGGGCAAAGCAGCGCCCGGCACCACTGCTGCGCCGGGCAACTGTGCCAGGGCCGGGCTGGGTGCGGGAGGGACGTGGTGCGGGAGGGCCTGGCTGACGGGCTGGGGCTGCCCTCCCAGGGGCATAGGGGCACCTGGAGGGATCTGGGAGGTCCCAGGGCCCAGGGGAGTCGGGCCAGCGCCAAAGGCAACCTGGGCCGGCGATCCGGCAGGCAAGGGCTGGATGGAAGCGAGTGACGGGCGAAGGGGCAGCTGCTGTTGTTGTTGCTGCTGCTGCTGCCCGGGCCCCATCATGCCCATGGAAATGTTAGGGCCGTGCGACACAGCCGTGGGGTAGGTCAAGGAGTGGGGAGGCAGGGCGTGGCCCCGAGGCAGGCTTGTCGTGGGCTGGCCCAAGCTGATAGTGTTGGGCTCCCAGTTGGACGGGGTGGCCCTGTCCGAGGACGGCTTGCGGGGCGCAGACCTGAGCCGGAAAGGGGTGCTGGAAGGCTGGCTGCTGCTGGGGCATTTGGGCCTGGGCCAGGAACTGGGGTGTGTACTGCTGAGGGGGGCGGGCCGAGGGGCTGAGGGCGGACCTGCCGGTCCATCGGGGGCTGGAGGGGCCGGTGGGGGAGAAGGCCTGCGGAGGTTGAGCAGAGGAGTAAGGCGGCGGGACCTGCTGCATGAAAGGGGGCCCACAAGGCTGCGGGTAGGGGAACTGAGCGTTGGGGGTCCCTTGAGGTCCTGCAAGCCCCCCTGGGCAGGAGGAGGAGGCCCTGCCCACTGGGGGAGCGGTCCGGCCATGCCCCTGGGGGCTGCGCAGCTCGAGATGGGGGCCTGGATGCTGTCGACAGTGGTGGTGGCCGGCCGGACCCCGGCGGGAAGCCGCCAACGCCATACTGGTGTGGGGAGGGAGCGGGGGGCCTAACTGCCAGAGGGGTGGAGTGGCTGGCCGGGAAGGCCCCGCTGTTGGGGGCCAGCTGCCCCATGCCGTAAACCATGCCCCCTGGGGGAGCGGAGACCGGCATGGGGAGGTGCTGCGGGGAGGTGTGTTGAGGGGGCAGAGGGTAGGCGGGCTGTGTAGCTGGGCCCCGCATGACATTGGCACTGGGTGGGTGGGGGTGAGGAGGGAGCAGAGCTCATCGGTGGCGGGGCTGCTCTGGGGGCAGAAGGCGGGCATCTGGTGGGAGGACCCGGGCGGCGTATGGGGCTTGTGCAGAGCTGGCCGGAGCCCTGGGCGGTGGGTAGTGCCTTTGGGGGGCACCTTGGGCCGCCATCTCTGGCCGGGCCGAAGGGAGCCTGGGCCCGGCCCGGCTGGGGGCGCGCAGAGAAGGCTTCCTGGCCAGGGGCCGCTCGCAGGCCGGCGTTGGGGAAGGCGGGGTCCAGACCCAGGGCGCCAAGGCGTCCGGCGGCAGCTGTGCCAGGTGAGCCCCCAGGACTTCAGGGGCAGGCTGCGGAGCTCCTCCGGGAGGTCGGCCAGGGAGAGGGAGCCGAGGGGCAGGGGGTCAGGCAGCTCAAGGTTGGAGGTCGTCTTCTGGAGCGCCGGCTTGGGGGTGGTGGGCCTGGCAGGAGGCCTCTTCTTCAGTTCCCTGCCAAGGCAAGGCCACAGAGAAGCCGCATGAGATGGGCACCCACGCCCAAGCACCCTTTTGCCCGCAAAGGACCCCTGTACAAGGACTACTGTAATTCGCTCTACACAAGGCTGCCCTCAAAACTGTCCCACAAACTCCAGCGGGTGCAGAATGCTGCAGCGAGGCTCCTCACGGGGTCTCTGCCATGGAAGCATATTCACCCAGTGCTCTACCAGTTGCACTGGCTCCTGGTGGAGTATAGGGTCAGGTTCAACGTGCTGGTTTTGACGTTTAAAGCCCTTTGTGACTTAGGGCCCTCGTATTTACGGGACCGCCTCTCATTTTAAGCAAGCATCTTTGCAAAAAAGGATTTTTGCTTGCGCTGCCAGCTCCACCGCCACCCTCCCAGATGATCCCTGTTCCTCTAGTTTCAGTCTTTCTCGAACTTGGGTCCCCGGCTTGTCCTTGTGCAGGAGACCAGCAGCAGTAAGATGATGCCCTTTGGCCAAGGTTGGAGTTAACGCTTATTAGCAAAAAACAGGACCCTGCACAGGAGGGATGGGTGCCAGAAGGGACGCGGGTGGGCAAGGAAAGTGGGTGGCACTGTGGTCTAACACCACAGAGCCTAGGGCTTCTCTCGATCAAGAAGTGTTAGCGGTTCAATATCCCCACAACGGAAGGTGAGCTCTGTTGCTCGCGTCCCTGCTCGCCAACCTAGCAGTTCGAAAGCACGTTAAAGTTGCAAGTAGATAAAACTACCACGGTACTGCTCTGGCGAGAAGGTAAACGGCGTTTTCCGTGCGCTGCTTCTGGTTCGCCAGAAGCCGGCTTATACTAGTCCTGCTGGCCACAGACCCGGCAAGCTGTACGCCAGCTCCTCGGCCAGTCCTAAAGCGAGTCATGAGCCGCCGCAACCCCAGAGTCGGTCACGACTGGAACCTTAATGGCAGGGGTCCTTTATCTTTACCTAGCAAAAACAAGACCTGACAGGCACACCAGGCTAATGAGTCAAATGAAAAGCTGAAAAAACAATCCCAACGGATGATTGGATATTAAAAGAGTGAAATAAATATTACAGTTTGGCAAACAAACAACAGGCATTAAGAATTACAGCGTCAGAATCAAAATTGAAACTAGAATGCCAATGCTTTAAAGAATAAGTGGAAAACACTTGTTTAAAAAGGTGTGTTGCTATGCATAGGGATTAAGGTTGTCAGATATACGAGAGGGAGATATTTGGAATAAGATATCAATTCCAATGGATAATATTAGAATGCAATCTAATATTTTAATATAATTTAATATAAGCATAAAGCTAGTGGTTCTCAACCTTGGGTCCCCAGATGTTGTTGGACTACAACTCCCATCATCCCTACTCCACAGGACCAGTGGTCAGATCGAGAACGTGGGGAGGAGAGTCATGGTGGGGTGTGTTTACTTATGTACTGTTCAAATTTTCTGTTGTATTTCCTGATTTACACCTCTGTTTATTGCAGGTTTGCTGTTCCTTTTTCTTTAATAAAAAGAAAGACAAGACCCGATCTCCGGTAGGTCTGACTCCCGATGAAGGCAGTTGCGGACAGAAAAATTCCGCCACCGCAACAAAGCTGCCGCAATCTCCTGCTCCCAGCGTCTCGTCCCAAAGCAATCTCGCGACCTATTCTTTGCCAGTGCCACTGGCCTTTGCTCCTCCCACTTCATGCCCTCCCTAGTCCTTGGAGACAAGCAGAGAAGGGGAGCTTGTCACAGGCAGAAGTGGGACGACACCCCTATGACTCTCCACCAAGCCTGACTCATATTCTGCCTTTCTCTTCCACCCTTTCCTGTTTCAGCTCTCGACCTCCCATCTCTGGACTTCTCTCAGTATCACAGACTCTCCCTTCTCCACTATTGCTCTGTTACCCTTTCAGCTTTTTGACACGGACCACTCTAGTCGTTCCGCCACACTCCCCTAGGCCTCTGAGCCTCCAGCTGGCGTTCCTCCCACCGTCCCCCTGTGTTCCAAACCAGTCCGTGACATTGCTGTACTACAATTCCCAGCATCCCTTGGTCCTGCTAAGCTAGGTGATGGGAGTCGTAAGTCCCAACGACAAGCTGGCGACCCAAGTTTGAAGAAGCACAGCTTCTAGCTGGGCAGGCAAGCGAGGCACAGACAGGCCCACCCTCAATCCTCAGCCTCTCCCACCGCACCTCCTCGCGGTGGGAACAAATTACATACAGCGCGGCGCGAGGAGAAGAAATGGAGGTGGGATACGGATGCGCTTCCAAGCTCTTGGTCTCGAACTCGCGTGATCATGCGCTTTCCCACGTGCGGGTCGGGGTGGCCTTCACGCTGGTGAGGGACCAGCGGTGAGGAGGCCGTAGGACCATGCGCTGGCCCCGCTCCGTGGGGAAGTAGCGGACAACCTTTGTGCTGCAGGAGAGAAGAGAAACGGCCACAGGGCGATGTCAGAGGAGAAAGGCAGGGCCAAGCAGAACACCTCCAGTGTTTAACATTTTGGCCTTGCCCCCCATGCGTTAGAAGCAGCAGGAAAGGGGAAAGGGCCCCCCACTGCAAGCCTGCAGATCCTGGGGAGCTACCTCAGTTAGAGAAAACAACTTCGGCTCCCAAACTTCTTTGTCTTCGTGTTTCCATTACGTGGTGCCTCGCAAGGTACGAAATTACATCCGACTTCGCGAGTTCTCTTCGTCTTGCGTTTTTTTCCACCGTCTTGCGAAGCACGGCTTGATTTAGCGGACTTAGCGGCTATCATAGCGGGCTTGCGGCTTTAAGAAAAGGAAACAAACTCGCAAGAAGCTCACAAGATATTCAATGATGGTTTCGCGTTTCGTCTTGCGAAGCAAGCCCCATAGGGAATTCGTCTTGCGGAATGACTCAAAAAAACAGAAAACCCTTTCGTCTACGAGCTTTTGTCTTGCGAGGCATTCGTCTTGCGTGGCCACCACCTGTAATCGCTCTGGGCCTGCCCTCCGCTACGAAAAGCATCGTTCAGAATAGTGATTTTGCCTGACACCCACTAAGGAAGATAACACAACACAATTCAAAAGGGTTAAAAATGACATCTGCATCGTCTATTCCAAACTCCAATTAAAACTGTTTCAAAAAACTGCAATTGACTTGATCCTGGCGATAGCAGCCTGTTCAAGGTCATACTACTCCCCCACCCAGGTAATCTCCCCACTAGCCGGTGCATCTAAGATCCTGCTGTTGGGCCTATGCGGAAGCCACATTCTTCATTTATAAATCTGTATACACACCCTACACCTGCAGATCTCACGGTGGCTCACAACCTTTAAAACTAGAATGCATTTACATTCGGTATGAACTGCAGTTAAGCAAAAGCCGAAACGTCCTCAAATTCTTTCTTGGCGTGTCTTGTGCCTCAAGGCCACACTGTGGTTCAATTTATATCAGGCACCCCCAAACTCAGCCTCCAGGTGTTTTGGCACTACAAACTCCCATGATCACTAGCTAACAGGGGCAAGTGCGTCAGGGATGATGGGATTGTACGTCCCAAAACACTTGGTAGGGTGAGTCGTGAATGCCTGATTTCTACTTAACTATGTTTTAGGACGCAGGTGGGCGCTGTGGGTTAAACCACAGAGCCTAGGACTTGCCCTTGCATCAGAAAGGTTCAAAATCCCTTGCAACAAGGGTGCGCTTCCCGTTGCTCGCGTCCCGTGCTTTCCTGCCCAATCTAAGCAGTTCGAAATCAACACCAGTTGCAAGTGATAAAATAGGTACGGCTCTGGCGGCGATGGTTAAATGGCTTAGTCATGAGCTCCGCAACCCCAGATCGGCACGACTGGACCTAATGGTCAGGGGCTCCCTTTAGCTTTAAACTATGGCTTAGCATGATGTAAACACCTGTGGCTCATTCCTATTTAGGGATCATAACAGTTTATGCCCATAAGGCTTTGATTGATGAAGCCTGAGCTGTAGGCAATTCTAAGCATGCGCCCCTTAGAACGCAAGTCACTTTTTTTTGTGGGGTCCATATGCCAATACACATTACATAAGAGGAGGATAAAAGCATTTTGGCAGTGTCTCCCTTCTCTCCTTCCCCCCAAGCTTGCAATCACAGGATCTGGTGCACAGGGTCAGAAGGCCGGAGGACTCTCAGGTTGCTTTAAAAAAACAACAGGCAAGTTACTAGTCCCAGGGGCTGCAGAGAAAAGAAAACATTAAAAGTGCATGGGAACATCTGTGGAGATCTGGAGTGCAATCATGGGGGGGGGGGGGATCACCCTCAACATGATCCCAATAAAGCACGCAGGCCTGCCAGACACGAGACAGCTTTCAAGAAGGACACTTGACCAAAACTGGAAACGTGTCCAGCAAGGAGCGGCAACCAAAATGAGTCAACAGCCTGGAAACGATGCCTCTATGAGGGAACGGTATGGGAGCTGGGCGATGTTTAGCCTCGGAAAGAGGAAGGTTAGGGGTGATATTTGATAGCCATGTTCAAATATTATAAAAGGATGTCACTATAGAGGAAAGGATGAGAAAGGGTTGTTTTCTGCTGCCCTCCAGAGAAGCGGACACGGAGCAATGATCCAACTACAGAAAGAAGATTCCACCCAACATTAGGAAGAACTTCCCTGACAGGAAGAGCTGGTTTGAAGTGGGAATCTTTGGCCAAGGAGTGTGGTGGAGTTCTCCTTTCTTTGGAAGGTCTTAAGCAGAGGCTTGACAAACCATATGTCAGGATGTGCTCTGATGGTGATTTTGCCTGCTTCCGGCAGCGGGGATTGCGACTCGATGGCCTTGTTCTAAGATCCAACTCTATGATTCTAAGACCACCCTGAGCTTGCCCCTAAACCTGAGAAGGTTATGTTTAAACCAGAGGAAAGACCTTACATTGGGCTCCCAGTACGTTCGCAGCACAATCAAAGTGTTGTGCCTCAGAAATATAGTCGTTGACTTTAAAAGCCTAAACGGTCTTCAGTTTCAGCACCATAGTGAACCTTGACAGGAGCGTTCCACCCCCATCGTTTCAGCCCGGACACTGAGAATCCAGCGCCACAGGGCCTTCTGGCGGTTCCCTCGCTGTGAAGAAGTGAGGTTATTAGGGAAACCAGGCAGAGCCTTCTCGGTGCGTGGCACCCCTACCCTGTGAACGCCCTGCCACCAGATATCAAGAGAAGAACACACAACCAAGGACTTCTGGACAAGACCTCTGAAGGCAGGCCTGTTTCAGGGGAAGCTTTTTAATGCTTTACAAGACTACTTGTATTTTAATATCCTTTGTCGAGCTCAGGCTCGGCTGGGGAGATGAGAGCCGCGCCCGAACCTGTACACAATCCTCCCCACGCTCCCCACCCCCCGGCTATACAAATAATTCAACTCTCATTATTATTTTCTCATTAGTTGATCTCTCTCGTTGTTATAATTGTTTTATTATTAAATTAACATCTTTTACCATTCAGCTATTTTCCACACAACATCCAAAAATAGCAAACAAACACACAACAACACAACATTCGAAAAACTTAAAAAGCCAACCGCACAAAACCCCCCACACTCCACCATATCTTACAAGTTCAACTCTCTCGACTCTAAACAACAACCTCTCCCCTCTCCAAACTCCATCAAAGCACCTCCTTGCACCTCTCGCTCTCGCGGTCTTCCAGTTTCGTTTTCCCCTTATATCTCCATCCTAGCATCTGAGCGTATTAAATCCCTCTTTTCTCTTATCCTTTCACTTCACAAGTTAATTCCAGGGGACTCAGCCAGATGTTCTGGCTCTCGAACCTTGACTTTGAGGTATTAATTGGGCACTCCCCATTCTTTTTTTACTTCACTTTTTGCGGTTTCTATTATCGTCTGTCAATTTAAGCTAATTCTATCATTTCATTCATCATCATCATCATCAAAGTACACTCAACTTTGTGACAACACCTCGGCCCCCCCGCCCTTGCTCCTTACCTCTCGATCTCCTGCCTCGGAAACCAGCAGACGCTATGACGGGACACTTTCTGCTCGTAGACTATGAGCAGAAGTCGGAGGCTCGGTGGCCCACCAGGGGGCCTGCATCCGGTGGCGATGCATGGTGGCAGCAGTAGACCAATTGCAGGCCAGTTGTCCACATGGTCTGTCCATGGTTTTGGAAGGTCTGTCTAAATGGGGAGGTCTTAAAAATGAGAGGCACAAATACAAGATGGGGGACACCTGGCTTGAGAGCAGTACATGTGAAAAGGATCTAGGAGTCTTGGTTGACCACAAACTTGACATGAGCCAACAGTGTGACGCGGCAGCTGAAAAAGCCAATGCAATTCTGGGCTGCATCAATAGGAGTATAGCATCTAGATCAAGGGAAGTAATAGTGCCACTGTATTCTGCTCTGGTCAGACCTCACCTGGAGTACTGTGTCCAGTTCTGGGCACCACAGTTCAAGAAGGACACTGACAAACTGGAACGTGTCCAGAGGAGGGCAACCAAAATGGTCAAAGGCCTGGAAACGATGCCTTATGAGGAACGGCTAAGGGAGCTGGGCATGTTTAGCTCCTGCCAACCTAGCAGTTCAAAAGCACACCAGTGCAAGTAGATAAATAGGTACCGCTCCAGCGGGAAGGTAAACGGCGTTTCTGTGCACTGCTTTGGTTCGCCAGAAGCGGCTTAGTCATGCTGGCCACATGACCCAGAAGCTGTACGCCGGCTCCCTCGGCCAATAAAGCGAGATGAGCGCCGCAACCTTAGAGTTGTCCGTGACTGGACCTAACGGTCAGGGGTCCCTTTACCTTTACCTTTATAGCACAATAAAACACATTCAGAGCCAGCAATTGAGAGACCAATTGCAGTCCAGTTGTCCAGGTGGTCTGCACTTGTTTTTGAAGGTCTTTCTAAATAGGGAGGTCTTAAACCTACTTGGGGGAAAGATCACAAGGAGGGAGCCAGTCAGACCTCTCTTGGGAGGGAATTGCCAATATGGGGAACGGTCACAGAAAAGGCTGCCTCTCTTCTTACCAAAGCAACTGGGCCTCAAATGTCGATGCGACCTGACAAGGCTCACACCCGAGGACCTTAGCACCAGTCAATATCTTTAGGTGACCCAAGGCTCATGGGCGTCACCCACGGCAGCTCCACCTGCACCCAACGACCCCGTACCTTCTCCTGCAGCATGTACTTTCCTCTGTTGGCGGATCTTCTTCACCAGCTGGGGCAAGTCCGGGATGCTGTTGCCGGCCTCCACTTCCTGCATGGCGGCGTACAAGAGGCAGAAGGCGCCGGTGCGGCCCACGCCAGAGCTGTGGGGGATGCAGAAGATGAACAAGGTGCAGAAGAGGAACAGAAGAGGAACAAGTTCAGCAACAGCTACAGACCCAAGTTTGAGAAACTATGGGCTTTCTCCATGCAGGGCACAATTTTTACAAACGTCTTGTCGTGTTGCCTCTTACTTGCCTTTCCTCTAGAACAGCCTTCTCAACCATGTGGTTGAACTACAACTCCCATCACCCCTAGCTAGCAAGGCCAGAGCTCAGGGATGATGGGAGTGTAGTCCAACAACATCTGGGGACCCACAGGTTGAGAACCGCTGCTCTGGAAAGTCCCAAGCACTGCAATTGTTCCTCTGTTCCCATCGATCATTTTGCTCACCCTTTTCTGAAACCTTTTCCAACCCTACATTTCCTTTTTGATACAGTGGTACCTCGAGTTACAGACGCTTTCAGGTTACAGACTCTGCTAACGCAGAAATAGTGCTTCAGGTTAAGAACTTTGCTTCAGGATGAGAACAGAAATCATGCTCCAGCAGCGTGGCAGCAGCAGGAGGCCCCATTAGCTAAAGTGGTACTTCAGGTTAAGAACAGTTCAGGTTAAGAATGCACCTCCGAACGAATTAAGTACTTAACCTGAGGTATCACTGTACTGGACGTGGGTGGCGCTGTGGGGTTAAACCACAGAACCTAGGACTTGCCGATCAGAAGGTTGGTGGTTTGAATGCTCCGCGACGGGGTGAGCTCCCGTTGCTCGGTCCCTGCTCCTGCCAACCTAGCAGTTTGAAAGCACATCAAAGTGCAAGTAGATAAATAGGTACACTCCGGCGGGAAGGTGAACGGTGTTTCCGTGCGCTGCTCTGGTTCGCCAGAAGTGGCTTTGTGATGCTGGCCACATGACCCGGAAGCTGTATGCCGGCTCCCTCGGCCAATAAAGCCAGATGAGCGCCGCAACCCCAAAGTCGTCCGCGACTGGATCTAATGGTCAGGGGTCCCTTTACCTTACTGCTTTTTCAGGCACTCCAGCTACAATTATCAGGTGGCAGGGCACAGGCAACAATACACGGCCACTTGCAACGAAGCCATCGTGGCAGAGGGGCCCATAGCTGCCACTTTTGGGCTTGACGGGTTATTGGTCTGGCGCACTGCGAGGCTCCGAGTCTGCTTTCCAAGTCTGGCCGTTGCTCACCTGCAATGGACGACGATGGGGGTGTGGAGCGGCCGCTGGTGGAGGTAATGGCTGTGCACCTCCTGAATGAAGCGAAGAAGGTCCCCTTTGCTGTCCGGGAGGCCACTGAAGGAAGGGGAAGGAGGGAGAGAGAGAGAGAAAGAAAAATGAAGCAAGCATCTTTGCAAAAAGGATTTTGCTGCCGCTTGCCAGCTCCACCGCCACCCTCCCAGATGATCCCTGTTCCTCTAGTTCAGTCTTTCTCGAACTTGGGTCCCCGGCTGTCCTTTGCAGGAGCCAGCCAGCAGTAAATGATGCCTTGCAAGTTGGAGTTAACGCCTTATTAGCAAAAACAGGACCTGCACAGGAGGGATGGGTGCACAGAAGGGACGCGGGTGGCGCAAGGAAAGTGGGTGGCACTGTGGTCTAAACCACAGAGCCTAGGGCTTCCCGATCAGAAGGTTAGCGGTTCAAATCCCCACAACGGGGTGAGCTCCTGTTGCTCGGTCCCTGCTCCCGCCAACCTAGCAGTTCGAAAGCACGTTAAAGTGCAAGTAGATAAATAGGTACTGCTCTGGCGAGAAGGTAAACGGCGTTTCCGTGCGCTGCTCTGGTTCGCCAGAAGCGGCTTAGTCCTGCTGGCCACATGACCCGGAAGCTGTACGCCAGCTCCCTCGGCCAGTAAAGCGAGATGAGCGCCGCAACCCCAGAGTCGGTCACGACTGGACCTAATGGTCAGGGGTCCCTTTATCTTTACCTAGCAAAAACAAGACCTGCACAGGAGCACCAGGGCTAATGAGTAAATGGAAAGCTGAAACAATCCCAAGGATGATTGGATATGTAAAATGAGTGAATATATACAGTTGGCAAAACAAACAGCAGGCATAAGATTACAGGTCAAATCAAAAATTGAAACTAGAATGGCAATGCTTTAAAGAATACATGGAAAAACACTGTTAAAAAAAGAGTGTGTTGCTATGCATAGATTAAGGTTGTAGAGTATACGAGAGGGAGATATTTGGATATAAGATATCCAATTCCAATGGATATATTAGGAATGCAATGCTAATATTTAATATATTTAATATAAGACATAAAGCAGTGGTTCTCAACCTTGGGTCCCCAGATGTTGTTGGACTACAACTCCCATCATCCCTAGCTCACAGGACCAGTGGTCAGGAATCGAGACGTGGTGGAGGAGAGTCATGGGTGGGGGTGTGTGTACTTATGTACTGTCAAATATTTCTGTGTATTTCTGATTTACATCTGTTTATTGCAGGTTTTCTGTTCCTTTTTCTAATAAAAAGAAAAGACAAGACCATCTCCGGTAGGTCTGACTCCCATGAAGCAGTTGCGGACAGAAAATCCGCACCGCAACATAGCTGCCGAAATCTCCCTGCTCTCCAGGGCTGTTCCCAAGCAATCTGAGACTATGCCAGTGCACCTGGCCTTTGCTCCTCCCACTTCATGCCTCCCCTAGTCCTGGGAGACAAGCAGAGAAGGGGAGCTTGTCACAGCAGAAGTGGGAGACACCCATGACTCTCCACCAGCCTGACTCATTTCTGCCTTTCTCTTCCCACCCTCCTGTTTCAGCTTCGACCTCCAATTCTGGACTTCTCTCTATCACAGACTCTCCCTTCTCACTATGCCCTGTTACCTTTTCAGCTTTTGACACGGACCACTCATAGTCGTCCCGCCACCACTCCCTAGGCTCTGAGCCTCCCCAGCTGGTTCCTCCCACCATCCCCCTGTGTCCAACCAGTCCGTGACATTGCTGGACTACAATTCCCAGCATCCCTGGTCCTGCTAGCTAGGGATGATGGGAGTCGTAGTCCCAACGACAGCTGGCGACCCAAGTTTGAGAAGCACAGCTCTAGCTGGGCCAGGCAAGCGAGGCACAGACAGGCCCACCCCTCATCCTCAGCCTCTCCCCACCGCCCTCCTCGCGTGGGACAAAATTCACATACAGCTCCGGCCAGGAGGAGAACTGGAGGTGGATAACGGTGCGCTTCAAGCTCTGGTCTCGGAACTGCAGCGTGATCATGCGTTCCACGTGGGTCGGGGTGGCCTTCACGCTGGTGAGGACCAGGGTGAGGAGGCCGTGGACCATGGGCTGGCCCCGCTCCGTGGGGAAGTAGCGGACAACCTTTTGCTGCAGGAGAGAAAGAGAAACGGGGGGATGTCAGGAGGAGAAAAGGAGGGCCAAGGCAGAACACCTCCAGTGTTAACATTTTGGCCTTGCCCCCCCATGGTTAGAAGGCAGCAGGAAGGGGAAAGGGCCCCCCACTGCAAGCCTGAGATCCTGGGGAGCTACCATCAGTTTAGAGAAAACAACTTCGGCTCCCCAAACTTTTTGTTTCGTGGTTCCATTACAGTGGTGCCTCGCAAGACGAAATTAATCCGTTCCGCGAGTCTCTTCGTCTTGCGTTTTTTTCGTCTTGCGAAGCACGGCTATTAGCGGCTTAGCGGCTATTAGCGGCTTAGCGGCTTTAAGAAAAAGGAAACAAACTCGCAAGAACTCACAAGACGTTTCGTCTTGCGAAGCAAGCCCATAGGGAAATTCGTCTTGCGGAATGACTCAAAAAACAGAAAACCCTTTCGTCTAGCGAGCTTTTTGTCTTGCGAGGCATTCGTCTTGCGGGGCACCACTGTAATTCGTCTGCCTGCCCTCCGCTACGAAAAGCATCGTTCAGAATAGTGATTTTGCCTGACCCCACTAAGGAAGATAACACAACACAATTCAAAAGGGTAAAAATGAATTGCATGTCTATTCAAAATCCAATTAAAACTGTTTCAAAAAAACTGAATGAACTTGATCCTGGGATAGCAGCTGTTCCAAGGTCATATACCTCCCCCACCCCAGGTAATCTCCCCACTAGCCGTGCTCTAAGATCCTGCTGTTGGGGCTATGCGGAAGCCACATTTCTTTCATTTATTAAATCTGTATACCACCCTACACCTGCAGATCTCAAGGTGGCTCACAACCTAAAACTAGAATGCATTTACATTCGATGAACTGCAGTTAAGCAAAAGCCGAAACGTCTCAAATTCTTCTGGCCGTGTCTGTGCCTCAAGGCCAACTGTGGTTAATTTATATCAGGCACCCCCAAACTCAGCCCTCCAGGTGTTTTGGGACTACAACTCCCATGATCACTAGCTAACAGGGGCAGTGGTCAGGGATGATGGGAATTGTAGTCCCAAAACAGCTGGAGGGCTGAGATCGGGAATGCCTGATTTCATACTAAACTATGGTTTAGGACGCAGGTGGCGCTGTGGGTTAAACCACAGAGCCTAGGACTTGCTGATCAGAAGGTTCAAATCCCTGCAACAGGGTGCGCTCCCGTTGCTCGGTCCCTGCTCCTGCCAACCTAGCAGTTCGAAATCACACCAGTGCAAGTGGATAAATAGGTACGGCTCTGGCGGGATGGTAAATGGCTTAGTCATGAGCTCCGCAACCCCAGAGTCGGCCACGACTGGACCTAATGGTCAGGGGTCCCTTTAGCTTTAAACTATGGCTTAGCATGATGTAAACACCTGTGGTATTCTATTTAGGGATTTAACAGTTTATGCCCATAAGGCTTTGATGATGAAGCCTGAGCTGTAGGCAATTCTAAGCATGCGCCTCCTTAGGAACGCAAGTCACTTTTTTTTGTGGTCCATATGCAATACACATTACATTAGAGGAGGATAAAGCATTTGAGTGTCTCCCTCTCTCCTTCCCCCCAAGCTGCAATCACAGGATCTGGTGCACAGGGTCAGAAGCCGGAGACTCTCAGGTTGCTTTAAAAAAACAACAGCAAGTTACTAGTCCCCAGGGCTGGGCAGAAAAGAACATAAAAGTGCAGGGAACATCTGTGGAGATCTGAGTGCAATCCATGGGGGGGGGGGATCACCCTCAACATGATCCCAATAAAGCAGCCAGGCCTGCCTCAGACAAGAGACAGTTCAAGAAGGACACTGACAAACTGGAACGTGTCCAGAGGAGGGCAACCAAAATGGTCAAAGGCCTGGAAACGATGCCTTATGAGGAACGGCTATGGGAGCTGGGCATGTTTAGCCTGGAGAAGAGGAGGTTAAGGGGTGATATGATAGCCATGTTCAAATATATAAAAGGATGTCATATAGAGGAGGGAGAAAGGTTGTTTTCTGCTGCTCCAGAGAAGCGGACACGGAGCAATGGATCCAAACTACAAGAAAGAAGATTCCACCTAAACATTAGGAAGAACTTCCTGACAGGAAGAGCTGTTTGACAGTGGAATTTGCTGCCAAGGAGTGTGGTGGAGTCTCCTTCTTTGGAGGTCTTTAAGCAGAGGCTTGACAACCATATGTCAGGAGTGCTCTGATGGTGTTTCCTGCTTGGCAGGGGGTTGGACTCGATGGCCCTTGTGGTCTAGTCCAACTCTATGATTCTAAGACCACCTGAGTTGCCCCTAAAACCTGAGAAAGTATGTTTAAACCAGAGAAAGACCTACATTGGCTCCCAGTACGTTTCCGAGCACAATTCAAAGTGTTGGTGTTGACCTTTAAAGCCCTAAACGGCCTCAGTTCAGTATACCTGAAGGAGCGTCTCCACCCCCATCGTTCAGCCGGACACTGAGATCCAGCGCCAAGGGCCTTCTGGCGGTTCCCTCGCTGTGAGAAGTGAGGTTATAGGGAACCAGGCAGAGGGCCTTCTCGGTGGTGGCACCCTCCCTGTGGAACGCCCTCCCACCAGATATCAAAGAGAAGAACAACAACCAGACTTCTGGAAGACCTCTGAAGGCAGCCCTGTTCAGGGAAGCTTTTAATGTTTAACAGACTACTGTATTTTAATACTTTGTTGGAGGCCTCCCAGAGTGGCTGGGGAAACCCAGCCAGATGGGCGGGGTATAAATAATAAATTTATTATTATTTTTATTAGTTGTTTTGTTGTTATATTTTTTATTATTAAATAAAATTTATTAGTATTTTCCACACAACATCCAAAAATAGCAAACAACACACAAAAACCAACATTCGAAAAACTAAAAAAGCAACAGCAACTAAACAACAACAAAAAATCCATATCTTACAAGTTAATAATATAAGCTCTAAAAAACAACCAAACATTGACTTCCATCAATCCCAAAGCACCTCCTTGACCTCTCGTTGCGTCTTCCAGTTTTCCTTATCATCTCCATCCTAGCATCTAGGTATAAATCCCTCTTTCTTATCCTTTCACTTCACAAGGTTATTCCAGACTCAGCCAGATTTCTGTCCTCGAACCTTGACTTTTGAGGTATTAATTTGGGCACTCCCATTCTTTTTTTACTTCACTTTTTGGTTTCTTATTATGTCTGTCAATTTAGCTAATTCTATCATCATCATCATCATCATCATCAAAGTACACTCAACTTGTGACAAACCCTCGGCCCCCGCCCTTGCTCCTTACCTTCTCGATCTCCTGCTCGGAAACCAGCATGACGATGACGGACACTTTCTGCTCGTAGATCATGAGCCAGAAGTCGGAGGCGGTGCCCACCAGGGGGGCCTGGGTGGCGATGATGGTGGGGCAGTAGGAGGAGAGGTCTTCGACGCGGCTGGCGTTGATGTAGTCGTCCTTGCCCGACTGCAGGACGATGCGGTTCTTGTCGTAGGGCATGATGTCCTGGTGGCGGTTCTTCATGGAGTAGCAGCGGGCGATGGCGATGGACAGCTGGCGGGCGTCTTTCTCCTGGGCGTCCTGCAGCTCCTTCCAGACGCCGTCCAGCTCGCTGGCGCTCCCCGAGGAAGGGGCCGGCTTCTCCAGGCCGCCCACCACGTCCTGGAAGCGCTCCAGCTCCGACAGGAGCCGCCGGATGTGTTCGGGCTTCTCGTAGGGGTCCTTCTCGATCAGCTGCACGGCTTTCGGCTTCAGCCCGTCCTTGGCGTCGGCCTTGGTGGGCTGCAAGAGGGGGTGGCCCACCGAGGCCTTGGCGCCCCCGTGCTGGCTCTCGGGGCTGGAGGACAGGAGGTCGTCGGTGGACGAGTTCTGACGGGGGAAGCGGGAGGCGTCAGAGGGGCCCTGCGCAAGTGGGGCGGCCCCGCCGGGCGCCAGAGAGGAGGGGGGCAGCTGCGGGAGAGGCCCCGAGGGGGGCAGGAGGGAGGGAGCCGGCAGGGTCAGGGAAGGCTGTGGCGAGGGCGCCGGCGAGGGCAAAGCAGCGCCCGGCACCACTGCTGCGCCGGGCAACTGTGCCAGGGCCGGGCTGGGTGCGGGAGGGACGTGGTGCGGGAGGGCCTGGCTGACGGGCTGGGGCTGCCCTCCCAGGGGCATAGGGGCACCTGGAGGGATCTGGGAGGTCCCAGGGCCCAGGGGAGTCGGGCCAGCGCCAAAGGCAACCTGGGCCGGCGATCCGGCAGGCAAGGGCTGGATGGAAGCGAGTGACGGGCGAAGGGGCAGCTGCTGTTGTTGTTGCTGCTGCTGCTGCTGCCCGGGCCCCATCATGCCCATGGAAATGTTAGGGCCGTGCGACACAGCCGTGGGGTAGGTCAAGGAGTGGGGAGGCAGGGCGTGGCCCCGAGGCAGCTTGTCGTGGGCTGGCCCAAGCTGATAGTGTTGGGCTCCCAGTTGGACGGGGTGGCCCTGTCCGAGGACGGCTTGCGGGGCGCAGACCTGAGCCGGAAAGGGGTGCTGGAAGGCTGGCTGCTGCTGGGGCATTTGGGCCTGGGCCAGGAACTGGGGTGTGTACTGCTGAGGGGGCGGGCCGAGGGGCTGAGGGCAGACCTGCCGGTCCATCGGGGGCTGGAGGGGCCGGTGGGGGGAGAAGGCCTGCGGAGGTTGAGCAGAGGAGTAAGGCGGCGGGACCTGCTGCATGAAAGGGGGCCCACAAGGCTGCGGGTAGGGGAACTGAGCGTTGGGGGTCCCTTGAGGTCCTGCAAAGCCCCCCTGGGCAGGAGGAGGAGGCCCTGCCCACTGGGGGAGCGGTCCGGCCATGCCCCTGGGGGCTGCGCAGCTCGAGATGGGGGCCTGGATGCTGTCGACAGTGGTGGTGGCCGGCCGGACCCCCGGCGGGAAGCCGCCAACGCCATACTGGTGTGGGGAGGGAGCGGGGGGCCTAACTGCCAGAGGGGTGGAGTGGCTGGCCGGGAAGGCCCCGCTGTTGGGGGCCAGCTGCCCCATGCCGTAAACCATGCCCCCTGGGGGAGCGGAGACCGGCATGGGGAGGTGCTGCGGGGAGGTGTGTTGAGGGGGCAGAGGGTAGGCGGGCTGTGTAGCTGGGCCCCGCATGACATTGGCACTGGGTGGGTAGGGGGCTGAGGAGGGGGCAGAGCTCATCGGTGGCGGGGCTGCCTGGGGGGCAGAAGGCGGCATCTGGTGGGAGACCGGCGGGTAAGGGGCTTGTGCAGAGCTGGCCGGGAGCCTGGGCGGTGGGTAGTGCCTTTGGGGGGCACCTTGGGCCGCCATCTGGCCCGGGCCGAAGGGAAGCCTGGCCCGGCCCGGCTGGGGGGCAGAGAAGGCTTCCTGGCCAGGGGCCGCTCGCAGGCCGGCGTGGGGGAAGGCGGGGTCCAGACCCAGGGCGGCCAAGGCGTCCGGCGGCAGCTGTGCCAGGTGAGCCCCCAGGACTTCAGGGGGCAGGCTGCGGAGCTCCTCCGGGAGGTCGGCCAGGGAGAGGGAGCCGAGGGGCAGGGGGTCAGGCAGCTCAAGGTTGGAGGTCGTCTTCTGGAGCGCCGGCTTGGGGGTGGTGGGCCTGGCAGGAGGCCTCTTCTTCAGTTCCCTGCCAAGGCAAGGCCACAGAGAAGCCGCATGAGATGGGCACCCACGCCCAAGCACCCTTTTGCCCGCAAAGGACCCCTGTACAAGGACTACTGTAATTCGCTCTACACAAGGCTGCCCTCAAAACTGTCCCACAAACTCCAGCGGGTGCAGAATGCTGCAGCGAGGCTCCTCACGGGGTCTCTGCCATGGAAGCATATTCACCCAGTGCTCTACCAGTTGCACTGGCTCCTGGTGGAGTATAGGGTCAGGTTCAACGTGCTGGTTTTGACGTTTAAAGCCCTTTGTGACTTAGGGCCCTCGTATTTACGGGACCGCCTCTCCTGGTCTGCCCCGCAGAGGACCTTAAGGTCCATGAATAATCATAGTTTAGAGGTCCCAGGCCCTAAAGAAGCCAGACTATCTTCCACCAGGGCCAGGGCCTTTTCAGTGATGGCTCCAACCTGATGGAATGCTGTTCCATGAGACTAGGGCCCTTCAGGATTTAACCTCCTTCTGTCGGGCCTGTAAGACAGAGCTATTCCGCCTGGCCTTTAATTTGAATTCAGCCTGATCTTTTATCTCCCTTCCCTTCCTTCCCTCCCCCTCCCCTTTTATGAAGCTCTGAGACCCCACAGCTAATTCTCCCCTGGCCTCCTCGCTGGCCCAAGTAGGACCAATTCAGCCAGCTAGCCCTGGGGGTTATCTAATTGATTTTTGAATGTTATGGTTATTCATGTTTTTATACTGTATTTTATGCTGCTTTTATAATTGTTTTAAAGTGTTTTAAATTTGTTGTTAGCCACCCTGAGCCCGGTTTTTGAACCAGGAAGGGCGGGTTATAAATAAAAAAAATATTTTTATTATTATTATTAAAACCCCAGGTGTCTGCATATATTTTGTAAAAACCTGGTGTTCTGATCATCACCTAAACCAGCCTTTCTCAATCTTGTGTGCCTGGATAGTGTTGGAATACAATTCCCATCATCCCGGATTACCCCCGTTTTAACATCACATTTTACAGTTGGCAGTTCAACTTTGGAACTCCCTGCCACAGGAGGCAGCGACGGCCACCAAGATGGAAGGCTTTAAAGGAAGGAGGGACAAATTCACAGAGGAGGAGGCCAGCAATGGCTACTAGCCAGGATGTCTCTGCTCTGCCTCCAACACCCACCCACTTGAACCCGGAGCCAAGCCACTTTACCTCTCCAGGAGCTGCTGCCTGGCCACCTCGGCTCCCTTGCAAGCAGCCCGGGATTTCTCCAGCAGTTTGGCCACTTTGCTCTCCAAGTCGGCGTAGAAATCCTTCCCTTCCTGGGATTTCTTCATCAGGTCCTCGTATGCCTCATAAGAGGCCACCAGTGTCTGCAAAGAGGTGTTCCACCTGGGGGGACGGCAGGAAAGAAGGGTTAGGATTAGGAAGAGGGGCGTTTGCAGGACCACCCAGAAAGCACGCAGAGCCAGGAGAGGCATTCACACATGCCTGGGCACAAGGGCTGAGCTGTACCAATCGACAAGTGTAGAAGAAGAAGAAGAGTTTGGATTTGATATCCCGCCTTTCACTCCCTTTAAGGAGTCTCAAAGCGGCTAACATTCTCCTTTCCCTTCCTCCCCCGCAACAAACACTCTGTGAGGTGAGTGGGGCTGAGAGACTTCAGAGAAGTGTGACTAGCCCAAGGTCACCCAGCAGCTGCATGTGGAGGAGCGGGGAAGCGAACCTGGTTCCCCAGATTACAGTGGTGCCTCGCAAGACGAAAAGAATCCGTTCCGCGATTCTCTTCGTCTAGCGGTTTTCTCGTCTTGCGAAGCAACCCTATTAGCGGCTAAGTGGATTAGCGCTATTAGCAGTTTAGCGGCTATTAAAGGCTTAGCGGCTTAGCTGCTAAAAGGCTATTAGCGGCTTAGCGGCTTAGAAAAAGGGGGGGGAGTGGGGGGGAAAAAATTGCAAGACTAGCAAGACGTTTCGTCTTGCGAAGCAAGCCCATAGGGGAAATCGTCTTGCGAAGCAACTCAAAAACGGAAAACCCTTTCGTCTAGCGGGTTTTCCGTCTTGCGAGGCATTCGTCTTGCGGGGCACCACTGTACGAGACTACCGCTCTAAACCACTACACCACACTGGCTCTCCAGGGGCACCTGGAGGGATCTGGGAGGTCCCAGAGCTCAGGGGAGTCGGGCCAGCGCCAAAGGCAACCTTTGCACACACACCCCTTTGCACACACACACACACACACACTTCTTAATACAGGAGCCCAAGCACTGTGCAATTTAATCCACCGTTCTCGTTGCACCAATAATCTCTGGCTGCTGCCTCCCTGCTGGGGCATCTAGCTGGCAGAACATCACACTTTTGCCAGGCTGCCAAGCCTCCCACCAACCATTCCTCAGGTTTCGGACACCAAAAATCCCAAAACTGCTTCTCTCCCCCCACCCCCCGGCCACTCACTTGTGCTCCACCTCTGCCAGGACCTTGCGCACGGCCGCGTACTTGACGTTGGCGTCCGTCAGGGCTTTGAGGATGTTCTCCTGGGCAGTCAAGTTCTGTTCTAAGTAGACCTTGATCTGGTCATATTTCTTCAGCTGCTCCTCGAAGAGTTTCTGGAGAGAGACGGAGGAGAAGTCAAGGCGAAGCTACGACAGGCTGGGGAGGAAGGAGGAGGGGATTCTGGGAATTGGTTGCGGCAGGGAGAGGAGGCCGGTGGGGCGCGTGAAATGCACACCAGAGCATCTTTTAGGCCTTTGGGTTATCGGAGGTGCAGACAAAGGGCCACAGCTCAGTGGAAGAGGGTCAGCCTGGCCAGCAGGTGGTCCTGGGTTCAAGCCTAAAGGGCAACTCCTGGGAGAAAACCCTGGCTGCGGCTTTAGTAGAAATGTTATAAGGAGTTATGTATAAATATGTTTTTAAGTTTTAAAGTTTTTTATGGTAAGATAAGGTTAAAATAAATTAAGACAACTAAAGGACAGAAAATGTAAAATTTAAGGTCAAATTGTGTTAAGATAAATTATAGAACAAAAACTGAGAAAGATGGAAAGGATTTGCTGAAATAGCTAATTGAATTAGAATACAAAAAAGGGAGGTGTGAGGAGGTCGATGAAACAAGTAAATGAAAGACAAAGATATGGAAATACTGGATGTGCTTTTAAATGTTTTTGCTTTTAAATGTTTTTTTGTTTTTCTTATTGTTTTGATATACTGTTTTTTATTGTGTTTTTTTATTTTTATTTTTGAAGTATTGTAACCTTTTATTGTCTTCTTCTCTTTTCTTTGTAATTTGTTAAACTTTTAATAAATATCTTTTTTAAAAAAGAAAAGAAAAAAGAAAACCCTGCCTGAATTCCTAGAGTGCCTGGAGGGTTCTAGAGAAATTCAACACCGTCTTCTGATTAGACTTTCATTCTGATGTGTGCAGAAAAGAATAACAAGCCCCCAAAGGTTGCCTTAGCTGCCTCCCCAATTGATCTCTCTACTGAGGCAAGAGAGAGAAGTGCCAGGCTTTGTAGAAACTGGAGACGGATCTGTGAGAAAGGCAGGGAAGAGGGAATTGGGAGAGGGGCCAGAAAGAAGAAGAGTTTGGATTTGATATCCCGCCTTTCACTTCCTTTAAGGAGTCTCAAAGCGGCTCACAATCTCCTTTCCCTTCCTCCCCCACAACAAACACTCTGTGAGGTGAGTGGGGCTGAGAGACTTCAGAGAAGTGTGACTGGCCCAAGGTTACCCAGCAGCTGCATGTGGAGGAGCGGAGACGCGAACCCGGTTCACCAGATTGCAAGACTACCACTCTTAACCACTAGACCACACTGGCTCTCAGGTTGCTCTCAGATTGCTCCTGCTGCATTTCGCTACTCTGAACATAACAGAGCCTGTCGGATCAGGCCAGTGGCCCACCAGAAGCCTTTTCTAGTAAACCTGAGCACCAGACCCCTCTCTCCCCTCATGCAGTTTCCAGCAAGGAACGCTCTGTCTCATGAGACCAGGGCCCTGCAGGATCTGATTTCTTTCCGCAGGGCCTGTAAGACAGAGTTGTTCCACCTGGCCTTTGGCTTGGAATCAACTTGATCCCTTTCCACTCTTTCCTTTCTCCTTCTGTGATGGAACTCCTATTTGGGGACTTCCCTGGCTTGTTTCTGACCCACGTAGGACCAGTCTGGATGGTTGGCCTTGGCGAAGATTTGACGTTTTCATCCCCCCAAAAGTTTTTTATTTGAGTTTCTACTGAAATGAGGCTGCATTTTAATGTTGTATTTTAATCTTGTTTTTATACATGGTGTTAGCCACCCCGAGCCCGGTCTTGGCTGGGGAGGGCGGGGTATAAATAATAATAATAATAATAATAATAATAATAATAATAATAATAATTATCATTATCATCATCATCATCATCATTGCTTTTCTTGGGAGAAAAGCAATGACAAACCTAGACAGCACCTTAAAAAGTAGAGACCTCACCTTGCCAACAAAGGTCCATATAGTAAAAGCTATGGTTTTCCCAGTAGCGATGTATGGAAGTGAGAGCTGGACCATAAAGAAGGCTGATCACCGAAGAATGGATGCTTTTGAATTCTGGTGCTGGAGGAGACTCTTGAGAGTCCCATGGACTGCAAGAAGATCAAACCTCTCCATTCTTAAGGAAATCAGCCCTGAGTGCTCACTGGAAGGACAGATCCTGAAGCTGAGGCTCCAAGACTTTGGCCACCTCAGGAGAAGAGAATACTCCCTGGAAAAGACCCTGATGTTGGGAAAGATGGAGGGCACAAGGAGAAGGGGACGACAGAGGACGAGATGGTTGAACAGTGTTCTCGAAGCTACCAGCATGAGTTTGACCAAACTGTGGGAGGCAGTGGAAGACAGGAGTGCCTGGCGTGCTCTGGTCCAGAGGGTCACGAAGAGTCGGACACGACTAAACAACATGACGACCATAGAGGCAGAGAACAACCGACAACAGCCCTCTCCTTTGTGATTTTGACTAATCGTCTTTGAACGTCATGCGGTTTGTGGCCAACTACATAACTTCCCCATCTATTTTCCGGCGGGCTCTTATGTTCTTGTGATTCGCTTTCCCATCAGCTTCAGGAGGAACTGGGTGGCGATGGGGGTGCAGAACGGCCGACCGGACACCCTGCCTCCCTCCCTCCCAGCCGCCCACCTTCATCTCAGACCGGTCCGTCGTCACCAGCGAGGTGGTGATGTCGTCCTTCTGGATCATCTCGCGCAGCTGCTGCTCCAGGGAGACCCGCTGGTCCTTCATCTCCTGCACTTTGGCCAGGATCCTCTTCAAGGTCTGCATTGCCTGCTGGTCGTCTGGGGAGGAAAGAGGCAGAAAGGGGCTGATGGGATTTGTAGTCCAAAAGACATCTCCAGGGCAGCAGGATGGCAAAGACCGGTTTTAATTTCTTTTTTTCTTTTTTTTAAGGTGCAGGATTTCAATGACTGCACCAGGATTAATTCTGCCATCTACCTAGATTCCACAAAGTGGACCTGTTCCCATACTCTGGCCTGCATTTTTAAAAACAGACGTTGAATGATTCCTTCTACCGAAAGGGTGGCCCCGGAGCCGAATGGCCTACAACCGGTGAGCTGGGAGCCACAACTGGGTGACAACCTGATTTCAGGTGTGTGACAACAGCAGCCCTATCATCAGGGTAAAGAGAGAGATAAAAACTTTAAGAAGCAGGTTCCCCCAAATGTACGTTTGGGTTGCAGGAGGATCCTGGATTTAAAACAGCTGAAGGAAACTGCGCTAGAAATCAGTCTCTGCAGATCCTGAAACATCACCCAAAGCTGCCATGAAGCTTGCCACTTGGACTTGGACCTTAGACCTGAAGGAGCATCTCCACCCTCATCGTTCAGCCCGGACACTGAGGTCCAGCTCCGAGGGCCTTCTAGCAGTTCCCTCATTGCGAGAAGTGAGGTTACAGGGAACCAGGCAGAGGGCCTTCTCGGTGGTGGCGCCTACCCTGTGGAATGCCCTTCCATAAGATGTCAAGGAGATAAACAACTATCTGACATTTAGAAGACATCTGAAGGCCGCCCTGTATTGGGAGTTTTTTAATGCCCGATGGCAGCAAATTAAAATGAAATGAAATACAGTGGTGCCCCGCAAGACGAATGCCTCGCAAGACAAAAAACTCGCTAGACGAAAGGGTTTTCCGTTTTTTGAATCGTTCCGCAAGACGAATTTCCCTATGGGCTTGCTTCGCAAGACGAAACGTCTTGTGAGTTCTTGCGAGTTTGTTTCCTTTTTCTTAAAGCCGCTAAGCCGTTAATAGCCGCTAAGCCGTTAATAGCCGCTAAGCCGCTAATAGCCGTGCTTCGCAAGACGAAAAAACTGCAAGACGAAGAGACTCGTGGAACAGATTAATTTCGTCTTGCGAGGCACCACTGTAATGAAATGAAATGAAATAATTATAAGGGTGGTTGTGAGGATAAAATGGAGAATCGAGCACACCACCTTCAACTCCTTGGAGGAAAGACAGGACATATATGTAATAATGGTCATTATATAGGTAAAGGTAAAAGACCCCTGGATGGTTAAGTCCACTCAAAGGCAACTCTGGGGTTGCAGCGCTCATCTCGCTTTCAGGCAAGGGAGCTGGCGTTTGTCCACAGACAGCTTTCCGGGTCATGTGGCCAGCAGGACTAAACCGCTTCCGGCACAACAGAACAGTGTGACGGAAACCAGAGCACACGGAAACGCCGTTTACCCTCCCGCCGCATCGGTACCTATTTATCTACTTGCACTGGCATGCTTTCGAACTGCTAGGTTGGCAGGAGCAGGGACCGAGCAACGGGAGCTTACCCCGTTGTGCGGATTCGAACCGCCGACCTTCCGATCGGCAATCCCAAGAGTCTCAGTGGTTTAGACCACAGCGCCACCCGCATCCCTGGTCTTTATATAGCTCTGCTTAGCAGGGGAGGGGAATGCAGCAGGGGCTTCCTCCATATTTCACACAATTGTAGAGTCAGGACCCCAAAGGGTCATCTAGACCAACCCCCTGCAATGCGGGGACCGCAGCTAAAGAATCCATGATTCATGGCGCCCGTGGGCTCGACCGGCAGGAAGCCGTAACAGAGCAGAGACGGCGGCAACCGCCTTCCTTGTCCTCCTCACCTTCCGTCAGGCTGGGGGTGGGCAAGGCGGCCCTCACTTGCTCCAGGGGGCCGCTGAGCAGCCGCAGGTTGCTGATGTGCAGGTTCATGGCCTTGTGGAGCTCCGTGTTGGTGAAGCTGGCCTTCTCGTGCACCTCCATGTACTTGGCCCATTCCTTGGCTACTTCCGCCAGCCCGGAGGAGGGCGGGGTGGGAGGGGAGCCCTGCTGCGGGGGCAGCTTCCCCCCCAGAGCCTCCCGCAGCTTCTGCTCCTGGGCATCGTCCTCGTCCAGAAGGTCCTTGATCTCCTTCAGAGACGCTTCGACGTCCGTGAAAACGCCAGAGAGCACTGGAGGGGGGCAGAGGGAGAGATTTTGAGACGCCACACCATTGGCGGGGCTGCCCATCCGCCCAAATCCCTTGCGCCTTTGCAAGTCTCCCCACGCTCCAAACTCTTAAGCCCCTGATCTCGGAGGCTTAAAGGGGGAACAGGACCTTTTCCAAGTCTCCCAATGCTTCCTTTTTTAAAAATAATTTTTAAAAATAATTTCAGCATAACCATTTATCAAAGACATATCATCCTCATTTCGTACCCCCCCTATTTTTCCCTCCCCCCTCCCCAAGAAAAGTCCACCTTCCCACCCCGGCCCGGACTTCCCTCAGCTCCTCTCTCTGGTTTTTCAGCACATGTTATTCTCTGCACATTGACAAAAGAACTGTGGGCAAGGGAAATTGATGGACTATGTGGAGCTGGCGAAACTGACGCACAAACCCAGAAATAGTGCTTCAGGTTAAGAACTTTGCTTCAGGATGAGAACAGAAATCATGCTCCAGAGGCACGGCAGCAGCAGGAGGCCCCATTAGCTAAAGTGGTGCTTCAGGTTAAGAACAGCTTCAGGTTAAGTACAGACCTCCGGAACGAATTAAGTTCTTAACCCGAGGTACCACTGTATTGGTAACATATAGACAGGTAATTTAAGGATCCCAATGCTTCCTTCTTAAGCCTACAAGACAGGGACTTAAAGGAGAAAAGACTTGCAGAAGAACAGAAGAACAGCCTATTGGATCAGGCCAGTGGACCAGCTAGTCCACCATCCTGTTCTCACAGGGGCCAACAAGATGCCTGTGGGAAACCAGCAAGCAGGATTCGAACACAGGAGCCCTCTCCCCTCCTGCAGTTTCCAGGAACTGGCATTCGGAAGCATTGCTGTCGGGGCAGAGCAAAGCCTGCATCGTGGCTAGTAGCTAATGATAGCCCTATACTCCATGAAATTGCCTCATCCTCTTTTAAAGCCATCTAGAATGGTGGCCGTCGCTGTCTCCTGTGGCAGGGAGTTCCACAGTTTAACTGTGCTTCTGTTTGAAGAATTCCTTTCTTTTCTCTGTCCCTAATCTTCCAACATTCAGCTTCACCGAAAATCTACGAGTTTTAGTGTAGTGTAGAGAGGGAGATAAAACTTTTATCTATCCCCTTTCTCCATGCCATGTCTGATTTCAGAAACTGCTATCGAGCCACCTCTCACCTTTCCTCCAAACTAAAAAATCCCAAACACTGCCACCTTTCTGTATAGGGGAGTTGCTGAATCCCCTTGATCGTTTTGGCAGCCCTTTTCCAACTTCTCCTCCGGAGCGGAGGCTCAAGAAGGGAGATCAGGAGCCTTTGCAAAGGCCTCTTTGAAATAACTCACTCCTGCCTGTGAGCTGCTTCAAAGGGCGCTTTTGCGCACAGCTGTGATTGCTGCTCAGTGGAAAAGGTAAAGGGACCCCCGACCATTAGGTCCAGTCGTGAGCGACTCTGGGGTTACAGCGCTCATCTCGCTTTACTGGCCAAGGGAGCCAGCGTACAGCTTCCGGGTCATGTGGCTAGCATGACTAAGCCGCTTCTGGCAAACCAGAGCAGCGCACGGAAATGCCGTTTACCTTCCCGCCGGAGCGGTACCTGTTTATCTACTTGCACTTTGAAGTGCTTTTGAACTCCTAGGTTGGCAGGAGCAGGGATAGAGCAATGGGAGCTCACCCCATCGCGGGGATTCGAACCGCTCACCTTCTGATTGGCAAGTCCTAGGCTCTGTGGTTTAACCCACAGCGCCACCCGCGTCCCGCTCAGTGGAATAGCAAGGATTAAATCCTGCCGCCGTGGCTGTGCAATCTTGCAAACCAGGATTAAAATCCTGTCTTCCACCCATCGGCTGACATTGCCAAAACATCAGCTGATGAGCATGGTTTGGGGGAAATGGCCTTGCAGGCCAAGACTGCCCCAAAGGCTGCAGGTTCCCAACATTCTTGTGCTACGTGTTCCAACACAAAAGCGTATAGTCAATTACTATAGAAGTTTAAACAAGCAGCTAGTCCCTCAGCAACTCCATCACAAGTTCTCCATCACTGAAAAAAACCTGAGTGGTCTCTTCCTTGCACGGACATACACACCTCATCCCCAGTCCCATAAACTTACCCTGCATGGACTGAACAAGGTTTTTCACGGTCTCTGGGCGCACGCTGAGCGCTGCGCATTTCTCCATCAAGACGGGCGGGATGTGGTTGTACATGTCCAGGTTGTCAACGGTCTCAGGGTCCAGCTGCAACGAGTCCATGAATTGTCTACAAAGAGAGAAGCGTGACAGGAGGGGTCACACGGCAGAGCTTGGATTATCCCATCCCTAGGCGGAGCCTCAGAAGGACTGGAAATCAACAGGCACCCCCAAACTCGGTCCTCCAGATGTTTTAGGACTACAACTCCCATCATCCCTAGCTAACACGATCAGTGGTCAGGGATGATGGGAACTGTAGTCCCAAAACATCTGGAGTTTGGGGGTACCTGCTATAACACAAACTGGTTTTTAAAAGCCTTATTTATAGCCACATCGGAGAAACTGACCCAGGAATTTTGCGTTCTCAGAGGGGAAATTCCAGCAAATTCCAAATATGACATCTTCTGGCGCCATTTTGATTACCATATTGGCCTGAATATAAGAAACTCCAGCGGGTGCAGAATGCCGCGGCAAGACTCCTTATGGGGTCCTCACTGCGGGATCACATTCACCCGGTGCTATACCAGCTGCACTGGCTCCCGGTGGAGTACAGGATCAGATTCAAGGTGCTGGTTTTAACCTTTAAAGCCCTATACGGCCTAGGACCCTCGTACCTACAGGACCGCCTCTCCTGGTACGTCCCACGGAGGACCTTACGGTCTTCAAACAAAAACATCTTGGAAGTCCCGGGCCACAGGGAGGTTAGGCTGGCCTCAGCCAGAGCCAGGGCTTTTTCGGCCATGGCCCTGATCTGGTGTAACGCTCTGTCACAAGAGACTAGGGCCCTGCGGGACTTGACATCTTTCCGCAGGACCTGCGAGACAGAGCTGTTCCACCAGGCCTTTGGCCAAGGCACAGTCTGACCCCCTCCTTTGGTAATCCTCACAAAACTCTAGCCCAATGGCTACCATGAATTTGATTTTGAACTGATTTTAGAATGTTGTGTTACTTTTATTGTTAGCTGCTCTGAGCCCGGCTTCGGCTGGGGAGGGCGGGATATAAATAAAAATGTATTAGGATGATGATGATGATGCGGCGAGACGACCCCTGTGACCCATGAGCAAAGAGGCAGCCCTCCTCACCCCACCCTCCACGGTGGCTTCCCCCAGTCCCAACTTCAGGGTCCCAGATCCCGAGAGCCTTAAATACGTACTCCAGGACTTCGTTTTTGGCGTCGATCTTGGCCATCACTTCTCTCAGCAGCTTGGCCTTCTCTTCGCTGCAAGGGAAACGCAGAGGCTTATTCTATACAGCAATATCTCCATCAACATCCACCTTTTCTAGCGTCCATTCTGGCGAACGTCCGTGGTAAACCCAGAAGTACCAGAACGGGTTATGTGCGCATGCGCAGAAGCACAAACCGCTTTGCCCTGTGTCCTTTTCGGCTAGAGGCCGGGGCTCCGGAACGGATCCTGGCCGCAAAACGAGGAACGACTATATTTTAGGTCCGCAAGCTGCATGTATTCTATCAGCTTAAGTTGCCATTCTTTGGTTGGGAGCTCACTCGTTTTCCATTTTGGGGCTAACAAACCACGGGCTGCAGTAGTGGCATACAGAAATAGCCTTTTTTTGACACCTGGAGATTTCTGTCTGAATTATCCCCAACGAAAAGGACTCTGGTTGTTTTTTATTTTTTTGGAAAGTACTTTTAAACATTTTTTCCCAATTCATTGTAAATTATTTCCCAAATGCTATTTTACCCTTTAACAGGTCCACAACATACGATAGAACGTACCTTCATCTTCACTGCATCTCCAGCACTTGTAGAGTAAGAGAACAAGAACATACGTTTAAAGAAGACTGGAAAATGTATATTGAATATATGGGGGGGGGGAATTGTGCGCACTTGAAAATGTCGGCAGCATTAAGATAAATCCAACTGTGTAAATAAGTTTTGATGGGTGTAATGTGGAATACTGAATGGTTTAGTTTATGTAAAATATGCAGGGATTTATGTTATGCAAAATGAACCATGGAAAGAGAAGAAGGGAAGTCATTGGTATTTTAAGGTTGTTTAAATGAATATTCTAAAATGTAAAACAGAAAATTTAATAAAAATCCTAGGAAAAAAGAGAAACACAGAGGCTTAGAAGCAGTCAGATGGGCAGCATATTTATTATTATTAATAAAGGTAAAGGTAAAGGTACCCCTGCCCGTACGGGCCAGTCTTGACAGACTCTAGGGTTGTGCGCCCATCTCACTCAAGAGGCCGGGGGCCAGCGCTGTCCGGAGACACTTCCGGGTCACGTGGCCAGCGTGACAAAGCTGCTCTGGCGAGCCAGCACCAGCGCAGCACACGGAAACGCCGTTTACCTTCCCGCCAGTAAGAGGTCCCTATTTATCTACTTGCACTTAGGGGTGCTTTCGAACTGCTAGGTGGGCAGGAGCTGGGAATGAAAGATGGGAGCTCACCCCGCCACGGGGATTCGAACCGCTGACCTTCTGATCAGCAAGCCCTAGGTGCTGAGGCTTTTACCCACAGCGCCACCCGCGTCCCTGATTATTATTAATATGATTATTCAAAGGGAGGGAATTCTACAGGGTAGGGCAACTGCATTAAAGGTCTGGTTCCTACATTGTGATGAACACACCTCCTGTTGGTGCCTGAAGGAGATCCTCGCCTACAGACCGCAGTGATCGACTGGGGATGTAAGGAGTGAGACCATCTCTCCTGCCCTATCATGGCACATATCAACTCTCTCTTATAGATAATAATTTTCATTGTTTTCAATTTTACATTTCAAAAAAGACCCAAAACATTTTACAAACTTTAAAATATCCAATGACTGCCCTTCTTCTCCATCCATGGTTCATTTTACATATCACACATTCCTGCGTATTTTACTATAACCATTCAAATCAGTTTTCTGCTTTAACATCCATCAAAAATCATTTGTTGAATTTATCTTAATGCTGCCAGAGTTTTCAGCTGTATGTACTCAATAAACGTTTTCCTTCTTTAAATATACGTTCTTCTTGCGCTCTTATTCTGTGTGCTAAATCTGCAAGTTCTGCATATTCTGTCAACTTAAATTGCCATTCTTCTTCAGTTGGGAACTCGCTCACTTTCCATTTTGGGGCTAACAAAACATGGGCCTCAGTTGTTGCATAGATAAATAATCTTTTCTGACACCTAGGAATTTCTGTCTGGCTTATTCCCAATACAAAGGGCTCTGGGGTTTATTTGTTTTTTAAAGTAATTTTGAACTTTGTTTTCAGTTCATTATAAATGATTTCCCAATACACTCTTAACTTTTTGCATGTCCGCCACGTATGAAAAAAAGATTCCCCCTGCTTCTTTACACTTCCAACACATATCTGATTCTGTTTTATATACAGTGGTGCCTCGCAAGACGAAATTAATTCGTTCCGCAAGTTTTTTCTTCTTGCGAGTTTTTCTTCTTGCGAAGCACGGTTTCCCATAGGAATGCAATGAAAATCAACCAATGCGTTCCTATGGAAACCGCCTTCAGACCGTCTGTCCCCCGACCTCTTCTGAAGGCTGGGGGGGGGGGACAAGGGCTTTTCTTCCCACCCCCAGCATTTTTAAAAACCCTGGGACAGCGGAGGAAAACCCTTCTCCCACCCCAAGTCTTCAGGACAGCCATCCGAAGGCTGGCGTGGGGAGAAGGTCTCTCCGCCCCGCCGGCAGGCTTCTGAGCATCCTTCCGAAGCCTGGCGGCGGGAGGAGGTCTCTTCGCCCCGCCGCCAGGCTTCGTAGCAGCCTTCAGAAGCTGGCCGAGGGGCGGAGAGACCTCCTCCCGCCGCCAGGCTTCGGAGCAGCCTTCCAAAGCCTGGCGGAGGGGCGGAGAGACTTCCTCCCACCGCCAGGCTTCGGAGGAGGTCCGAGGACAGTGGGGAAGATGCGCTGCGCTTCCCCGCTGTCCCGGAAATTTCCCTATGGGCTTTCGTCTTGCGAAGGAAGCCCATAGGGAAATTCGTTTTGCGAAGCGCTCCAAAACGGAAAACCCTTTCGTCTAGCGGGTTTTCCGTCTTGCGAGGCATTCGTCTTGCGGGGCACCACTGTATCTTAGCCAACCTAGTTAATTACCATCTATGGATCCTTTTCAAATGATTCTCTTTCAATGAATAAAATGCAGTAAATTTCAGGTCGCTTTTCCGAAGTTTCTCCCGGAAGTTAAAATCTAGGCACATGTCAACTCTTGGCCCACAATACTCCCACCCTCTTCCTGTTTAGGGAGGTTCTTAATTTTTGCTGTTTTATCGTGTTTTTAATATTCTGTTGGGAGCCACCTAGAGTGGCTGGGGAAACCCAGCCAGAGGGGCAGGGTATAAATAATAAATTCTTCTTCTTCGTATAAATAATAAATTCTTCTCCTTCTTCTCCTTGCCTTGTTATCAAGCCTCCCGTCTCGACCCTTTAATCCCCACCTGTTTTCCTGCAGCCCCCCCCCCATGGAACTGGCAGGCCAAACAGTCTCCCAGAATACAGATCAGCTGCTCACCTGTAGAGCGAGGAGGCCTCATGGGCAGCCATTGGAACCAGCTTGGCAAAAATGTCAGGGCCTGTGACAGCCGGGTCTGTGGGGTTGACGGGAAGGGCTTTCACCAGAGGTGCACCTGCAGATGAAGTAATATTGGGTTAATAAAGAACTTGAGGACAGAGAGTTGATTCCTTAAAAAGGTAAAGGCAAAGGACCCCTGGACGGTTAAGTCCAGTCAAAGGCGACTATGGGGTTGTGGAGCTCATCTCGCTTTCAGGCCAAGGGAGCAGACGTTTGCCCGCAAACAGTTTTCCGGGTCATGTGGCCAGCAGGACTAAACCGCTTCTGGCACACCAGAACACCGTGACGGAAACCAGAGCACACGGAAATACCATCTACCTTCCCGCTGTAGTGGTACCTATTTATCTACTTGCACTGGTGTGCTTTTGAACTGCTAGGTTGGCAGGAATTGGGACAGAGCAACAGGAGCCACCCTGTTGCGGGGATTCAAACCGCTGACCTCCCGATCAGCAAGCCCAAGGGGCTCAGTGGTTTAGACCACAGCACCACGCGCGTCCCTAGAGGTGATACCTAGGCCACACCGGACCCACAGAGTGCTGATAATCTTGTAGCTTCTGTAAATGTTTGGGTTTACCCAGTCCTGCATGCTTATTTGGCTTTTATTGCTACGGCTATGTTTATATCCCACCCTTCCTCACTTTTGTGGGTAGCGATTTAACAAGTTGTAAAGAAATCTGAACAGCCCACAACAAAAGACAAGGTAAGACAGCGGCCAATCACTGCCACAAAAGCCCAGCCCATCAAGATGCAGCAAAACGATCCCCAATATCATGGCATCAGCAAGAAACATCTGACAAAAGATCCCCCAACAGCCTCCACTCAAAGCCTGGGAGAATAAGAAAGTTTTTGATCGTCATCAAAAGGCAGCCAAAAGTGATGCCAATCAGCTTTCAAAACCACCCGCTGCACATTTATGCTTCGGGTAGCCCTATGCTACATCTGATATGATGGATGTTGCGGGAAAATGCATGATGGGAGTTGTAGTCCAAAACATCTGGAGGGCGCCTGGTTGGGGAAGGATGGGCTCCTTCTGCCCTACCCAAGACCAGGAGGCAGAGAAGGTGATAGGGCTTGCTCCAAAGCTGGGATAGCTCAGCTAGTAGAGCGTGAGACTCTTAATTTCAGGGTTGTGGGTTTGAGTCACACATCGGGGAAGATATTCCTGCATTGCAGTGGGGTGGGACTGTTAGAATTCCTGCTCCGTGATTGCAGTCATGGGATTGTTGTCTTTCACATGACGGTATATGTTTTGACTCCACAGAGTGGGAAGTGACGGAGACAGGATGTTTGTGTTCCTGTGTTCCGTGAAGTGGGACTGTTGTCCTTTGTTCTTTTTCTCTTTGCTGTCTGATGCTAGAGAGAGAGGGAGCCATGTTTCAGTGCTCCGTGTGTGTTTATATGTAAATAAAGTAGATTAGCCAAAATGCTGAGTTGCTGGGGTTCTGCCACACAAGCTGCGAAGACTCTGCAAGTGTGCCAGTGCTGGTTGGCATTGGTCGCTGTGATGTTCAGGCTGAAGAAAGCTTATGAAGCTCCTGAACGATCGACCAGGAGGGAGAGAACATGCCAGTCGGGCATGTGTCTCTGCCAGGGTCCTACTCACGTGTAGGCCGAACTCCTGACTGCTGGGGCCCCATCTAACTTTACAATTCTGTGAAAACAGAGTGTCTTGACTTTACCTTTCACCGACTGCAAGGTATCCAGAGCAGGGACAGCCTCGTGGTAGATGAAGTCGTTCTCCTTTTTGGCAGAGTTGTACCTGCAAAATGACAAGAGGCTTGAAGGGCGTTGCTGCTGGAGGGGGGGGGGCTCTTTGGGGGCAGATGCCCAGGAAGAAGTATCACATATTTCCGCTCCGAGTACAGTTCCAAGAAAGCAACCAATATCAATAGATGTACATTTTCAAAGGGTGTTATGATTACGGATACCCCACACCCAAAGTCAGAGGAACTACAACTACAGATAGTGGGACTTTTTTTGGGGGGGGTGCCTCCAGAAATGTGGGGAATACTAGGTAAAATCCAAACTTGGAAAGATGGAAGGAGGTGGGGGTGTTTTGGTCAGTATCTCCTTACTTCCCAAGCCCAAAGTGAAAATTTGCAAATCTGTGTGCATTTCTTTCTTTTTCAATTGAAACTTTCCCAACATAGAATACGATAAAAAAAAACAGATGAATCTGAATAAAAATGGGAAAAGTAAATAAAGGAAAAAGAGGAAGAAAATAATGCAAAGCCCTCTAACAGAGGGAGATCTCAATTAACCCTTGTCTCGCATAAAAAGGGGGTGGACGCTCCCAGCTCTCACCTGAGAGCAACTCGTTCTTCTCCCATGCACGTGTTTCTTGAATTCATTATGTAGAGTAACTTAGGAATCCAAACGCATGGTCCACAAATGACAACACTTTGGAGGTCCCAGGTCGCAAGGTGGTTAGATTAGTCTCAACTAGGGCCAGGGCCTTTTCAGTACTGGCCCCAAATTGGTGGAACGCTCTGTCACAAGAAACTAGGGCCCTGCGGGACTTGACATCTTTCCGCAGGGCCTGCAAGACAGAGCTGTTCCGCCTGGCCTTTGGTTTGGACTCAGTCTGACCCTTATGTTTCCCTCCCCTTACGGTCTTGATTTATCGGCTACTTTTAAAATGAGGCTGCATTTTAAATTGCATTTTAACCTGTATTTTATTTTCTTTTTCTTTTCCCCCTATTATGTTTTTACTTTGATTCTATTGGTGTTAGCTGCCCTGAGCCCAGCTCTGGCCGGGGAGGGCAGGGTATAAATAAATTATTATTATTATTATTATTATTATTATTATTATTATTATGTGTTGTTGTTTTTTAAAAAAAGGTTTTCTAGTCCTCATGGTTTCACAGAATCACAAAAATATGGAGGGAATGACTGGAAGAGCAGATCTGAACAAAGCAAAGGTCTATGGGTGAGACCATCAGACCCGTCAACATCTGACTTCTGACTGGCAGTGGCTCTCCCAATTTCCAGACAGGAGTGCTCTCTCTCTCTCTCTCTCTCTCTCTCTCTCTCTCTCTCGCTGTCTCTCTCTGCACCAGGCAGGTTCTCTTGGTGCAGAGCAGAGATTAGGGAAGGGAACTGGTGTGACAGGAACCCAGGCCCAGGCACGCAAAGAGTTAACAGGTAGCAGCGACTCACTTTCCTCCAATGACATCCATGGTGAACCTCAAGGCTTCCTGTACCGTCTCAGGCTGACCCTGCAAGAAGAATTGTCAGGTTCAAAACATACCCATAATAAGCAGGTGGTCTGCAGGCAGAAATGGCAGGGGGCAGAATAGGGGTACACCAACAAATCCAAAAGTAGGCAGTAGCAGCCACTGGGGGGATTCTCTAGGTAAAGGTAAAGGGACCCCTGACCTAGTCCAGTCGTGACCAACTCTGGGGTTGCGGTGCTCATCTCGCTTTATTGGCCGAGGGAGCCGGCATACAGCTTCCGGGTCATGTGGCCAGCATGACTAAGCCGCTTCTGGCGAACCAGAGCAGCGCACGGAAACCCCGTTTACCTTCCCACCGGAGCGGTACCTATTTATCTACTTGCACTTTGACGTGCTTTCGAACTGCTAGGTGGGCAGGAGCAGGGGCCAAGTGACGGGAGCTCACCCCATCGCGGGGATTCGAACCGCCGACCTTCTGATCGGCAAGTCCTAGGCTCTGTGGTTTAGCCCACAGCGCCACCCGTGTCCCTTGGGGGGATTCTCTAGGGGGAAGCTAAGAGGCAAGGGGGGCAGCGGGGAGGGGGCGCAGCCATCAACAGCCCTCTCCTCCATCAATTGGTCCAATCTTCTTTTAAAGCCATCCAAGTTGGGGGCCATCATTGCCTCCACAGTTTAACTAAATAACGTTTCAAGCCACTTTAGGGAAGGGGGTAGGAAGAAAGGTGTACCTTGGCCAGTTTGATGGCTTCATTGAGCTTGTCCAGGGCACTCTGGAAGTAGATGACCTGCAAAGGGAGCAGAGATTCAGACAACCAAAGTCCACTGTCAAACTGGCTATGCTTTCTATTAAAAGTAAGAAAACTGAGCCTTTCTCTCACACACGTTAAAAGAATTTTAAGGTCTCAAACTTAGAATAAATATTCATAAATGCACGCATATCTAAATATATGAACCGCATGTCTGAAATAGTATGGGAGAGCAATCCCGGAGCCGTTTTGATTCTCCCAGTGACCTCAAATAGTCCATTGCAGTAAGGGAGGCAAATGGGGAAAGCCTTCCCACTGCCTTTTTGCTTGCAAATCCTGTCTTAAGGACGTATTTGTGTATGAATAGGCTAGACTGCCCAGGTAATGCAACCAGTGACCATTATTAGTATCCTGGAAGACAGGATTTCTGCGGGAGACCGCCTCCCTTCTGTGATGTATGTATGATGTTTCAGGGGGCTGGTCTTGGGCTACAGGGTGGGCAATTTCAAAGGTCTATATAGGGGCTTGTGCACCACTGTTCAAGGTTCTCCTCCCTCCTGCGTGTGATGAGTGGGGACCCTGTTGCAACAGTTCCCTGAATAAAGATCAGGCTTACTAGCCGCTTTGCTTCTCAATATACTCAGGTTGGCCCCTGTTACTTTCTCCTACCAATAGGGAACCCACTTAAGGACTTTATATGGGATCTGGAATTCCCCATAAGGCAGTCTTTCTTATAACACACACAAATTCCCTGCAGGTAGAGAACTTGCACGCAGGGAGTGCCATAACAGAGGCTCATCTCATCACAAGAAGCCCTATTTGCAGCCTGAAGTCCATTCGCAGGGCTTCCGCCACACTGGCCACGTGTGAGGACTAGTGCCTTGGGTAGTCATAGACGTGGCGAGGGAACAGAAGAAGCTCCTTCTGGACTCATCCTGGCAAGGGCTTCAAAGGGAGGTCTGCGTCAGGAAGAGAAGGTTGGGCTTCCTCGCTCTCCCCTCTGCCTCCTCCCCTTCTAACCCCATCTCCCAACCACAGCTGTCCTTCAGTTATTGTAACATCAACAGTACAAGGGCAAGGCTGAAGGTTTCGCTGTTTGGAGCAAGCGACAGCTGTGGTCAATTAGAAGCCTGTATTACAAGGCCAAGACATTAATAGCCAAGATGTTAAATTGTTCTTATATGCAACAACAGTGGCAAGAGTACTGTTAGCCCAGAAACGGAAGCGAGAAGAAATTCCGACGAAAGAAGAATGGAAGGCGAAATTAATGGACTATGCAGAATTGGACAAAATGACAGGAAGGATTCGAAACCTGCGGGACCAGAGATTTACAGAAGATCGGAAGAAGTATATGAATTATTTGAAGATCAGCTGCAAGTTATGCTAGTAGGACTACAAGAAGTTTTGTGAGGAGAAATATACAAAGTGTTACAAAGTAGAAAACGGTAGAGATATTGGTTATGAGTTTGAAATGTAGTATGGAAAATAAGAAATGCATACTAAGAGATTAGATTAGAAAATTTTCAGACAGGACTGATGGAAGTCAAAAAAATTGAATAAGATGTAAAAGTATGTTTAATCACTGTTGAAAATGGTATGTTAAAAAACTAATAAAAATGTATATATACAGTGGTACCTCAGGATGCGAACGGGATCTGTTCCGGAGCCCCGTTTGCATCCCGAAGAGAACGCAAGATGCGACGGCGCGTCTGCTGTCGTGTTTTGTCACTTCTGCGCATGACATCATTTTGAGCGTCTGCGCACGTGCAAGCGTCAAAACCCGGAAGTAACGCACTCCGTTACTTCTGGGTTGCCACGGAGCGCAACTCGAATGCGCTCAACCCGAAGCACATTCAACTCGAGGTATGACTGTATATATAAAAAAGAAGCCTGTATTACAAGGTTCAGCACCACGGACAGCGCAAAACCTGTCCCAGTCTCTCTAGGTAAAGGTAAAGGTACCCCTGCCCGTACGGGCCAGTCTTGACAGACTCTAGGGTTGTGCGCTCATCTCACTCTAGAGGCCGGGAGCCAGCGCTGTCCGCAGACACTTCCGGGTCACGTGGCCAGCGTGACAAGCTGCATCTGGCGAGCCAGCGCAGCACACGGAACGCCGTTTACCTTCCCGCTAGTAAGTGGTCCCTATTTATCTACTTGCACCCGGGGGTGTTTTCGAACTGCTAGGTTGGCAGGTGCTGGGACCGAACGACAGGAGCGCACCCCGCCGCGGGGATTCGAACCGCCGACCATGTGATCGGCAAGTCCTAGGCGCTGCGGTTTTACCCACAGCACCACCCGCATCCCACAGTCTCTCTACCCCACACCTATTGCAGAATCACGGAATTGTAGAGTCGGAATGCACCCCAAGGACATCTAGTCGAACCCTCTGCAATGCAGGGACCACAGCTTAAAATCCCTGACAGATGGCCAGCCAACCTCTCTTTAAAGACCTCCAAAGAACAGCTCCTGCTGTCAATTCTTCCTAATATTGAGTCGGAATCTCCTTCCTCGTAATTTGAAACTGCTGGTTCCGCTCCCACTCTCTGGAGCAGCGGGAAACAAGCTTGCCCCATCGTACACGTGAGAGCCCTTCAGGTATTTGAAGATGGATATTTTTCACCTCTTATCATCCAGGAGATCGACAGCGGCAAGCAGTCTGTGAGTTCTCCACCTCTCCACCCACCCCAGAACTTTGGAAGCAAACAGGCTTACCCTCTCGCCGTACTTCTGCTGCTCCTCCGCCTGCTTCCCCATGTGCAACTGAAAGACAGAGAAGAATCACAGTTATTGTAGCAGCCTGCCAGACACAGCACCCCTGGGTTGGTCCCAGGCACTACCTCACAATCTGGCATCGCCTCCATCCGCCCCACAAACCCTCATCCATCGCGCAGGAAGCTGAAATCAAAAGCTCAACCCACACGCAAAACCCCATAGACAGAAGGGTTTGGAGGAACAGACAGGCTCGTTCTTCCCATAAAGAATCATTCCAGTGCTCCCATCCCGGTGAGGGTTGAGATGACAGAGCCTTCAATAACAGCCTTCAGGTTCCAACACAAACCAAAGGATAATAATAATAATAATTTATTATTTATACCCCGCCCATCTGGCTAGGCTTCCCCAGCCACTCTGGGCAGCTTCCAACAAAATATTAAAATACAGTAATGCATCAAACATTAAAAGCTTCCCTAAACAGGGCCGCCTTCAGATGTCTTCTAGAAGTCTGGAAGTTGTTGTTCTCTTTGACATCTGGTGGGAGGGCGTTCCACAGGGAGGGCGCCACCACCGAGAAGGCCCTCTGCCTGGTTCCCTGTAACCTCACTTCTCGCAGGGAGGGAACCACCAGAAGGCCCTTGGAGCTGGACCTCACTGTCCGGGCAGAATGATGCGGGTGGAGACGCTCCTTCAGGTATACTGGACCGAGGCCGTTTAGGGCTTTAAAGGTCAGCACCCACACTTGGAATTGTGCCCGGAAACGTACTGGGAGCCAATGTAGGTCTTTCAATGTGGTCTCGGCGGCTGCTCCCAGTCACCAGTCTAGCTGCCGCATTCTGGATTAGTTGTAGTTTCTGGGTCACCTTCAAAGGTAGCCCCATGTAGAGCGCATTGCAGTAGTCCCAGCAAGAGATAACCAGAGCATGCATCACTCTGGTGAGGCAGTCTGTGGGCAGGGAGGGTATGTTTATTTTCCCCCTCCCCATTTTGATTCTCTGGCCCCATATCTGCACAAACTTGTTATCCCAAAATCCAGACATGCTTTTACACTTGCAAGACTGGGAATCCCACCTGAGAAACGTTTTTGCCCCTGTGGAGATGGTAGCACCGAAACAGCGGCACACGCCCTCCTGTCTTGTACTCTCTACAAAGACCTGAGGAACGAGACCATCACCCCACTCGTACTAACCATCCAAGGGCACTCAACCACTGCCACAATGTTTGTTCTTCTATCAGATCAACATGAGCAGATAACAGCAAAGGTTGCTAGGTTCATAGCAGGGGCAATCAGAATAAGGGCCACTAACTGACGGTTGACTCAGGACTTTGAAATGTGCTCTTATATCAAACTTCCTTTTCTGCGTATACTGTAATGTTTTATTGTTGCTATGGCCATTGGCTAATGCGAATAAAGTTTTGTCTTATCTAACCAAGGGACGCGGGTGGCGCTGTGGGTTAAACCACAGAGCCTAGGACTTGCCGATCAGAAGGTCGGCGGTTCGAATCCCCACGAGGGGGTGAGCTCCCGTTGCTCGGTCCCTGCTCCTGCTACCTAGCAGTTCAAAATCACACCAGTGCAAGTAGATAAATAGGTACCACTCTGGCAGGATGGTAAACGGCATTTCCGTGTGCTGCTCTGGTTCGCCAGAAGCGGCTTAGTCATGCTGGCCACATGACCCGGAAGCTGTACGCCGGCTCCCTCACCCAATAAAGCGAGATGATCGCCACAACCCCAGAGTCGGCCGCGACTGGACCTAACTGTCAGGGGTCCCTTTACTTTTATCTAACAAAAGTGTGGGAGGTCATGTTGGGTGAAGCCCAGCTCACCGGAGCAGGGTCCGCCCGGGATACTTACATGGGCCACGGCAGCGAAATAGTAGATCTTCATCTGCACCAGCTTCTTCCAGTCCTTCTGAATCTTCCCCAGCAGGGAGGCTGTTTCAGAGTTCTCCAAGGCTCGACACGCTTCTTTGTAGTAATCCACCACCTTGGGAAGGGAATTTGGGAGGGCAGGAAAGGTTCTGAGTGATTGCTGCTTTGGATGCTGACAAATTTTCCCCACTGCAGGAGCCGAACCGACGGATGCGTATCACGAGAAAGGAGAACCCAACCGAACATTTGGAATAACTTTCTAAAGGTAAGTAGACTCTCTTTCACTGGAGGTTTTAATGCAGAATTTGGACGGCCATCTGTCGGGGATTCTTGAGCTATGATTCCTGCATTGCAAGGGGTTGGGCTAGATGGCCTTTGGGGGTCTCGTCTGATTCTACAGCTCCATCGGGGAGGGCATGTGGGACAGCCCTGTCAAGCAAACCTAACTGCACAGCAAAAATGCACCTGGCTGCTTTAGAGGAAGGCCTCTAACCTGCCCCAGGCTCAGGGGGAGGACACTGTTCAGGCACTGGTCACCCAAGTTCAAGGCTCCCCAAACTGCTCACCTGGGCGCTGATCCTGGCCACAAGGAAGCTCTTCCGGTTGTCCAGCATTGACTTCTCCAGAAGGCACTCCTGGGCTTGGCCCTTTAGACATGCAGGCGACGAAGAAATAAATAATAAAATAATAAAATAATAAATTTTTAGTTATACGCCGCCCCTCCCAGTTCAGAAAACCGGGCTCAGGGAGGTTAACAACAAATTTAAAACACTTAATTGATGCAACCAAAAACATCATAAAACACAGTATAAGACGTGAATAACAATAAATTCAGAATTCAAAAATCAATTTGGGGGGAAATCCATCCAATAAACATCAGATGATCACCAGGGCTAGCTGGCTAAATTAGTCCTATCTGGGCCAGCGAGGAGACCAGGGGAGAATGAGCTGTGGGATCCCAGAGCGGGTAATCTTCATAAAAAGGGGAAGGGGAGGGAAGGAAGGGGAATAAAAGATCAGGCTAAGTTCAAATTGAAAGCCAGGCGGAATAGCTCTGTCTTAGAGGCCCTGCAGAAGGAAGTTAAATTCTGCAGGGCCCTGGTCTCATGGGGCAGAGCATTCCACCAGGTCGGAACCATCACTGAGAAGGCCCTGGCCCTGGTGGAGCGTAGTCTGACTTCCTTAGGGCCCGGGACCTCTAAACTATGATTATTCATGGACCTTAAGGTCCTCTGCGGGGCATACAAGATGCTCTCATTTACAGTGTTCTACAGCCTTGGACGCAAGGCTGCAGGTGACCTCTACTGCACCTACTGTCGCATGAGCGGAGATCACCTCTAGAAAGCACATTTTAAAATCGCCCAGCCCAGTTACAACAATGAGTCGCACTGCTCTGCCCTTTGCTTCGGAAATACATGGAGGAGAGAGCTGTCAGTGGCCACTAGCCACGAAGGCTCGGTTCCAGCCTCCACAGTTGGAGGCAGTAAGTGCTTCTGGGTACCAGTTAGTGGAAGCCACAGAAGGGGAGAAAGAGGGTCTTGTGTTCGAATCCTGCTTGCTGGTTTCCTATTAGGGCTTCTGGTTGGCCATTGCAAGTGGACTAGTTGGCCCTTAGGCTGGTCCAGCCAGGCTCTCCTTCCGTTCTCAGCACCTTCGCCAAGGGGCAGAGCAGGCCAGAGGAACTTCCCCTCGCCGCCGCCCCCAGCTCTTACCAGCATGAGGTTGATATTGAGGTTAAGGATCTGATGGCTCATGTCTACGCTGTAGGAATGAGGGAAGTGGTCCCGGAGGTAAGCGAACGCCCCCGCTGCACACTGGAAATGGGTACAGGAGACCTTCATGCCCTGCAAGACAGAATGGGGGTTTTTTTTTGGGGGGGGAGTTGCATTTTCAACAAGCCCAGCTAGAAGACCCCCAAGGAAGATCAGCCCAAAGGCACACAGACTGAATTTCTCTCTCTCTATATATCTATCTATCTATATCTATCTATCTATCTATCTATCTATCTATCTATCTATCTATCTATATACCGTTTGCTTGTAGAAAATCAAAGTGGTTTACAAAAAAGGCACAACAACAAAGAAGGCAAAATAATAAATTACCGTACATAAATAAGCAAATAAATGCACTTCCACACGCAGCGGACTCATAGGAAGCAACCCTGCTGATGATGGTGAGACTTTTAACTAAGCTCTTTAAAAAACTGGATATTTTTTTTAAAGCCCCAAAATACTAATTGGAGGTGCCTTTGATGCTATTAACCTGGCGAGGAGGGGAACTGAAAGCCCAAAGCCTTACCTCCTCGGATACCCTTTTGTCCATTGCTCCAAGCATAGAATGCAATGCGCCTGGAGGAGGAGAGAGGGAAAGGGTGAGTGGCGGCATCGTCCGATAGGCAGCGGCTCCCCAGGCAGTCTCTCCCCGCCTACTACTATGGAGAGTGTTTTATTATTCATTTGCACAGCCAGAAGCCGTAAAAGAGCAAGATACAGCCAACAGAATAAAACACTTTGCCTAGCTAACATGATTATTGAAACTAGGCATTCTGCCCAATAAAAATTTGTTTCCCTGAAGAATTTAACTCAACGTTCCTCCTCAAAACTGTGGTCCTAAAGGCGAAAGAGGCCATCTTTCCAGAAATGTCAGGGGACCTGACCCCCAATGAAAATTGACCAAGTACCCAGTTGCTCTGATGGTTGAGAGATTTACCGTATTTTTCGCTCCGTAGGACGCACTTCTTCCCTCTTAAAAACGAAGGGGAAAAGTCTGTGCGTCCTATGGAGCGAATGCAGGCGGGAGGCAGGCAGGAAAAGCCCCCCAGAGCCACACACAAGCTTCGCGCGGCTCTTGCGGGCTTTTCCCCAGGAGGGAGAAGGGACTGACGTGGCCAGTCAGTCCCTCCTCCCTCCTCATAGAAAAGCCCACAGGAGCCGCGCGCTCCTTAAAGGGTGCGCGGCTCCTGTGGGCTTTTGTGGGAGGTGGGGGAATTGCCATAGCCGCGCGCAGCCTCTCCAGCTGGGAGAAGTTGCGCCCGGCTATGGCAGAAGCCAAGGAAGCGAGCAGGATAGATTGCGCTCGCTGCCTTGGCTTCTTTAGCCACGCTTCTTTCGCCGCGCTGGAGAGGTTTAGCTCCCAGCTGGAGAGGTTGCGCAGCTATGGATCCCGCTCACTGTCTTGGCTTCTTTGCTCTTTGGGGCGGGGGGGGGGACCCGGGCTTCCCCCGCAGCCCCGAGAAGCTTTCTTGATTTCCCCCTCTAAAAACTAGGTGCGTCTTGTGGTCCGAAGTAACACGCTTCGCTTCTTCTGGGTCTCCGCAGCGCGCAACCCGAAAATACCGTATTTTTCGCTCTATAAGATGCACCAGACCATAAGACGCACCTAGTTTTTGGAGAAGGTAAACAAGGAAAAAAATATTCTGAATCCCAGAAGCCAGAACAGCAAGAGGGGTCTCTGCGCAGCGAAAGCAGCAATCCCTCTTGCTGTTGTGGCTTCTGGGATAGCTGCGCAGCCTGCATTCGCTCCATAAGACACACACACATTTCCCCTTACTTTTTAGGAGGGAAAAAGTGAGTCTTATAGAGCAAAAAATATGGTAAATCTTGGAATGAGGCTGCTCTCAAGCCCTTGCAGATTGGGCAAAGGAGCTGGGAATAGAGACACACCTTTTCAGAGCAGACTCCTTGGCCAATCTTCCCCTCCAGGCAGACACGGCAAGAGGAAGCTGCTTCTTGTACCCTCCTCCCACCAGGCAACTCCCACTGCAAGGGATGAGCGAGCTGACATGCCCACGATCTGCCGCAGCCAGGAAGAACAGGGCCTCTATTGTCTCCCAGAACTACACAAAAAGCTCCCTAAAACCCAGCTCAGACCTTTCCCAGCAAGGCCAGAAGGGTGCTTCTAAATATTTTGGTGCCTCTTCCCCCCCCCCCATTAGATGAGAGTCTCAAAGTATCGCCCTTTACATTTCCAACCTGCCCAGTCCTGGAAGGTTCAGTCCAGGCAATAAAACAAAACACAGAAACATGCGAAGATACTTATTGAAGCAGCGTTTGCCAACCTCGTGGCTGTTGGGATACTGCCGGGAAGACGGGGGCATCGGCAGGCCCCCAGCTGGCTCCAGCCACCGGCCGGCAGCCGGTCTCTCTTGGAACAGTATCAAACAGCGACACGAGCCTCAGATACGTTAAGAGACCCGTGCATGCTCTGTCAGCAGAGTGTGTAAGTCACCTCACAGAGGCGGACAGAGAGATGTGCAAGCATAATGTACAGCATGTTATTGAGCATAGTTCCAGAACAAAGGAAAACATGTCTGCTTCCCTTCGTCTCCAGCAAAACAGCAGTTAACACAAAAGCTATATACAAACGGAAGTTCCCAGCGAGTGCTGGAAGTAAACAGGCATGTGACACACAACAGCCTGTTCCCTTTTAGGGTGGAACGGAACTACCGTATTTTTCGCTCCATAGGGCGCACCGGACCATAGGGCGCGCCTAGTTTTTTTTGGGGGGGGGAAATAAAGAAAAAATATTATTCCCCCCCCATCCCCAAAAGGCAAAGAAGCCAAGACAGCGAGTGGGATGGATCCCGCTCGCTGTCTTGGCTTCCTTTTTAGCCGCAGGGCTGGGGTGGGGGAAGCCCGAGCTTCCCCCGAACCCAGAACGGGTCTGGGAGCGGCGGCGAGGTTGTGCGCTCCCGGAGCTTGCTGCTATCCGCAAGCCTGGAGAGCCCGGTAGGAACTCCCACCAGGCTCCGAAGGCTTGCAGATAGCTTCCTGAAGCCTGGAGAGCGAGAGGGGTCAGTGCGCTCCAGGCTTCAGCGAAAGCCTGCATTCGCTCCATAGGACGCACACACATTTCCCCTTCATTTATGGAGGGGGAAATGTGCGTCCTATAGAGCGAAAAATACGGTATAACCTAACAGCGCCCTCCAGATCTTATGGACTACGACTTCCAAGGATGGCTGGGGCTGAGGGGAGCTGTGGTCGAAAACGTCTGGAATGCACCAGGGTGGCAAAAGGCTGCTTTGAAGTCGCATTGGTTGCAGACAGGCCAGCGCAAAGCAGCCAAGCTTCCATGAAGCAATGAACGTGGACCGTCAGAGCAGGAGGCTCAGGCAGTAGGAAAGCACTGGTGCATCTGTGGGCTCTGAAGGTCATGTTTTTTTAGCCTGCGCTACTCTTCAACCAGGTGAGGAATGTCAGAATTGCACAGAAATCCAAAGCAAATCAGAAACGATCGAGCTGGGACAAGGAAATCACTGCATTAGACAGCACAATGTGGCTTCTTAGAGCAGAGCAACATCCACCCCCTAAAAACCCATCCTTATATTTTAACTTGCCTTAGCAGTCAGCCAAAGATTGTGGTCATCACCCTGATTTTGAAGGAATGGGTTTCCCAAACCCAAAACTGACTGTGCAGGCAGTTTAAAACAGGCACCAAAATCCCCATTTTTCTTTAGCTAAAATCCATTAACTTGAGCTCTGAGTCAATGTATAAACAAAAACCCGGTTGCATAAACAAGTGCTCAGAGCCCTCTCCTTTATCAGTTCATGACGGCAAGGATGACCTTGGCTGCTCCAGTAGAACAGGGATGACACGTCTAGGTCTTATCTTACGTCCTGACCACACTGATGCACAGACCTAGTCTGGGAACAGCGCCAGAGTGTGTTCTTGGAGTTGGTGACCTCTTGCTCCAAGATAAGAGTGTAGGAAGGAAAACCCTTTTATGGTCAGGAGTACAGGAAGGAAATCCCTTTTATGGTTAAGAGTGCTGGAGCAGGAACATCTGTGATGTCAACCTGCGTGGACAAGCTGATGTGGCTGGATTCCTGGGGAAGGGGGGAGAGGGTGCCTGGAGGATATATATACTGCATGCAATTTCTCATTTCTTTGGACTTGCTGTGGACTGACCACGCAGGTGCCTTTCTGCTGTTCCGGAGAGCAGAAACAAAGAACTCTTTCTCTGAACCAACCCTTGGTGTCATTTGACTTCCTTTCTCCTGTCCGGGAGCAACGCAGACCCAATCGGTGAACTCCAATAAGGCGACAATTTCAGTGCTTCCAAAGCTTAGCACAAGGTCAGAAATGAGCCCATCTTTCATTTGGGGCTGGGACAGGTGGTCTCCTGGATAAAATATTTGCTGACCACTGGCAAGTGGTCTTCTGAGAAAAGCAGAAGCACACACCAATTCTGCGCTATGGTAACCCACGTTCTGCAGCCGGAGGAGCTGTTCTCTGGCCTGCATAAATCGTGTAAATTAAACACAGAGCGTTCCCCTCCAACCACTGGAAATGCTCTTAAGATTCTCGGCTTCCACCCTACGCCACTCACACATTTTGAACCAGTCTCTGCAGACAAAAGGACACAGCGCTGAACCACAATTCCTGTGCTAGTCACACAAAACCTAGCACAGATGCTGCAGCATGGGGAGTCGATGTGCTCCAGAGGTCCAGCGCTCCTAAGGTGCAGCCAAGCACCCACAAATCCACTTCCAGCCCTCTGGCAAGGGGGACACCCCAACACCCTCCCACTTTCGCTGTCGTTAGGAGAGCAAGTCGGAGCAACCTTTGCCTTCTCCCAAGCCCTCTCCACGTGCCAGAGGACTTGGGGAATGACAAGGGAAGCCAGAGGCAGTGACGAAAAGAGGCTCGCTACTAGCTCCTGCCTCCAGCCTCTCTTTGAGAGTAATTTCATTAAAGCAGCCGTCTTTACCCCCGTAACAGCTGTGCTGCCTGGGGCTCATGGGTGTCACAGTCCAAAACATCTGGAAGGCACCTTCTTGGGGGAAGGATGAGGCAGAGAACGCAGAAGGAGCCTAGACTCGTGGATGCAAAGGCAGACACGGCTGTCGCCCCATCAGCCAAGAAAGACTTGCCGATTATTTGCCAGCAAAACATCCTTGGCGGCTGCTGTGAATATACTTTTTGCTGGAATGATCCTTTAGTCATTCCTGTTAGGATACTGATGTTCCGTTCCACCTTAAAAGGAACAGACGGATTGTTGTATGTCACATGACTGTTTACTCTCCAGCACAGCTTGCTGGGAACTTCCGTGTATAGCTTTTGCTTATGCTCCCTGCTCTTGGACATGAAAGAGAGCAGACATGTTTTCTTTGTCCTGAACTACGCTGAATAAACTGCTTGTAAATATGCTTTGGGGGACGCAGGTGGCGCTGTGGGTTAAAGCCTCAGCACCTAGGACTTGCCGATCGAAAGGTCGGCGGTTCGAATCCCTGCGGCGGGGTGCGCTCCTGTCGTTCGGTCCCAGCGCCTGCCAACCTAGCAGTTCGAAAGCACCTTCGGGTGCAAGTAGATAAATAGGGACCGCTTACTAGCGGGAAGGTAAACGGTGTTCCGTGTGCTGCGCTGGCCTGCCAGAGCAGCGATGTCACGCTGGCCACGTGACCCGGAAGTGTCTGCGGACAGCACTGGCTCCCGGCCTATAGAGTGAGATGAGCGCACAACCCTAGAGTCTGGCAAGAGTGGCCCGTACGGGCAGGGGTACCTTTACCTTTACCTTTAAATATGCTTTACATATGCCTCTGTCCGCCACTTCTGTTGTGTGTTATTCACTCTGCTGGTTAAGGCGTGCTCAAGCTGTGAGTCGCTGTTTGATGCTGTTCCAAAGGACCAGAGTTCGTCCGGCTGCCGGCCGGTGGGCTGGAGCCAGCTGGGGGCCTGCGGAATGCCCCCATTCCCTCGGACACATCCCAACAATTCCTCCCCTGAAGCCCCTTTCGCCTCCTGGAAACAGAGATGCAGTCGCAGGTCCAGCTGGCCGAACGGCCCTTACCCAGATTATACAGGATGCAGGCCTGCTCATATTTGATGTCCTCATGCGTCACCGTCTTGCCGGAGAAGATCTCGGTCCTGCAAACAGAGGGGGCCATTGCGGGGGCTGAGCGGAAAGTGTCTCAATGCACGGGCCTTTTTCCAGCAAAGCGCCCACTTGGGGCACTGAACAGATGCCCAGAGGCCCAGCCCAACAAAACACCCTCCTGCTTGGAGTGTATGGAGCTGGAGTTGGCAGCCATAGGAGAGAAGAGTGGATCTTGTGCTCGGGTACCGCATGCGAGTTTTGCACAGGCATCTAGTTGGCCACTGTGAGGACAGGATGCCGAACTGGACGGGCCCCCTTTGGGCTGATGGCGCATGACTCATAAAAGGGCCACATCTCCAGCGTGAACACAACTCAGAGCTGCTGTGCTTGCCAACTACCCGGAGGAGGAATAAGAAAACATGCTGCTTCGTCTCGCACCCACCACCGATTCCCACTTCCCAAATTTCTGCAGTTGATCCCTATCACTTCTCAAATCTCCTTCAAGCTCCTAGTCCGGACAGAGGCTGGTGTCCCCACTCCTGTCTTTAAGACTGCAACCTTGCTAGCTTATTCTTTTCAACAGCCTCCACATCTCTAGCCATTCACTCATCCTTCCCCCTTCTGAAATCCCAGTTCTCCTGCAAACTCTTTCATGAATCTCAACAGGCTGATTCCCCCAAGCTGTCTGTCGCCAAACAAGAAGGTCACAGCTTGAGAAGAACCCTGCTGGATCAGGCGATTGGCCCCTCTACGATACGATAATCTTTGTTGTCATTGTCCCATACAGAACAACGAAACTGAAAAAATCTACATCAGACATTCAAAAACCCATAAGCCTGCTATCCCAGCCTGGTTAGCCCCCTAAAAATTCTGATACCCTATAATTGAATACAATATACTCACATAGAGACTACCTTACACTGCGTTTAAAACCAAAATCGCATTTGGATAGAAACTGTTTCTCAGGCAGCTAGCCCTAGTCTTTATAACCCTGGACCTTCTTCCAGAAGGCAGAAGCTGAAAGAGATCATTTCTGGGGTGCGCACTATCCTGCGCTATCTCTGCAGCTTTCTTATGGCACCTGTAAGCATAGATTTGATCCAAGGTGGGAGGAGGGAACCCAATGATTCTCTCCGCAGTCTTTACAACCCTGGACAGCATTGTTTTTTCCCTGGCCGTGCAGCTCCCAAACCACACACACAGACCATAAGTTAATACACTCTCCACAGTGCAATGGTAAAATGCCATCAACAGGTCCTTTGAGAGATTGTTTTTCCGGAGGATTCTCAGAAAATATAACCTCTGCTGTGCTCTCTTCGTCAGGTCTTTGCTGTTTTCTCCCCAGGTTAGGGCATCTCTCAGCTCCATTCCCAGAAATTGAAACACCGAGACCTGTTCCACGCACTTCCCCTCAATAATGAGTCCAGCATCCTCTTCTCACAGTGGCCAATCAGATGCCTGTGAGTGACCCGCAAGCAGGATTCGAACACAAGAGCAACTCTCCGCTTCTGCGGTTTCCAGAAACTGGAACCAAGGAGAATTACTGCCTCTAACCACAGAGGTGGGGCATAACCAACAAGCCTTCCTGGTCCTCCATTTCTGCTATTGCTTCATTACACACTCCCCTTTGTGCTCCCCTTCCAAAATAGAAAGAAATACCCAGTGGAGAGAATGCGCTACATTCCAGGGAGCGCCCAAGTTGCAGAGCAGTGTTGGGTCTCTGGCTGTTGTTATGGACTACAACTCCCATCATCCCTAGCCAGCAGGACCAGTGGTCAGGGAAGATGGGAGTTGCAGTCCAGCAGCAGCTGGAGACCCAGGTTTGAGAAACACTGCAGTGGAGGGTCCCCTCCGCGGTCCATGCGCAGAGCGGGAGAAGCCCCAACCCCACTTGTTCCAGTTTTGGCGTAACCTCAAAGCCAGCTCTGCTGAGTGGCAAGGCTCAGCTCCTCAGCCACCGCCTCTCCCCCCTGCAGCTGACTCACCAGGTAATGGGGACGGCTGCCTCATGCTCTGCCCCCATCGGGATGCGGCTCTGCAGGTAGTGCAGCTGCCCAAAGTACTTGCGCAGGATGCTGCAGCCTTCGAAGTCCCTGGGCACGTTGACGGCATTCTGGGAGGGGAGAGGAAAGGGACAGGAGTCAGGTTAATAATAAAAATAATAATAATTTATTATTTGTACCCCACCCATCTGGCTGGGTTTCCCCAGCCACTCTGGGCGGCTTCCACAGAAACCAAAAATACACTAAAATATCAAACATTAAAAACTTCCCTGAACAGGGCTGCCTTCAGAATGTCAGGTAGTTGTTTATCGCTTTGACATCTGATGGGAAAGCGTTCCACAGGGCGGGCGCCACCACCGAGAAGGCCCCCTGCCTGGTTCCCTGTAATCTCACTTCTCGCAGGGAGAGAACCGCAAGAAGGCCCTCGGAGCTGGACCTCAGTGTCCGGGCAGAACGATGGGGGTGGAGACGCTCCTTCAGGTATACTGGGCCAAGGCCGTTTAGGGCTTTCAAGGTCAGCACCAACACTTTGAACTGTGCTTGGAAATATACCGGGAGCTCATGAGGTCCTTCTTCATGTGCCATGCGGAGGATAGCAACATGAGAACAGGGCCTTTTCTGTGGTGGCTCCCTGCTTGTGGAAAGCATTCCCCAGGGAGTTTCCCCTGGCACCATCATTACATATCTTTAGGCACTAAGGAAAAACATTTCTTTTTCTCCAGGCCTTCAGCTTTTAACTATCTGTGGCCTCTTTGAGAGGGTGGGATGTTCTAATGCAGCCTTTTAAAAACAAGACTGCCTTTTGGAGTTTTCTTTGTCCTGTGGGGTTTTTTGTTGTTGTTTATTGTGAATTGTTCTGTGTTACCTTGGTAGAAAAAAAAAGTGGCTAATAAATTCAATAAATAACAACTCAGAAGAAAAGTGGCATGTAAGTATTTTAAAAGAAATGAAGATTTTAAAGCAAGACTGCCTCCCCAATCTGCTTTTCTCTGCCTCAGTTTCCCCTCTTACAGACTCCTGAAGGTCCTGGTGGGCAGCACTGCATCATGTGAACCAAGTAAGCCCGCGTCACCATCCCCGAGAGGAAGAGGAGGGCTGGAGGAGAACCACGTATGTCCTCACCTGCCTCAGCTGCTCCAGCTTCTTCAACTCTTCATTGTAGTTCTCTGGATTTTCACCATAGTTCTTCAGGACAAACTAGCATAGGGGGAAGGAAGGAAATGTATTCATTTATTCATTGAATATTTAATATATTAAACCTCTCTAAGCAGTTTATATAAGTTACAGTCAAACCTCAGGCTACAGAAGCTTCAGGTTGAGTTTTTCCAGCTTACGGACCGCTGAAACCCGGAAATACCGGAACAGGTTACTTCCGGGTTTCAGCGGTTGCGCATGCGCAGACACGCCAAATCGCAACCCGGCATTCGCAGACGCGCCACTGCGGGTTGTGAACGTGCATCCCGCAGGGATCATGTTCGCAACCCTGAGAGTCCACTGTAATACCAACAACATTCAATAAAATTTTCCAAAGCAAAACAAGAGGAAAGCAAGATTAAGGAACACAATACAACTGCATATTAGAAACACAACCAGTGTACAAAGCAAACACTGGCATTTGAAGATCGGAGTACAGGAAATATCTGGGTAAGTTTGAGAGGTGTTTCAAGCTCCCTAGGGCCACCTGAGGCCGAGGGTACTGAAAGCCACTGTGGTGTGGTTAGAGCATCAGGCTAGGGCATGGGTAGGCAAACTAAGGCCCAGGGGCCGGATCCAGCCCAATCGCCTTCTAAATCTGGCCTGCGGACAGTCCAGGAATCAGCGTGTTATTACATGAGTAGAATGTGGAAGTGAGAGCTGGACCATAAAGAAGGCTGATCGCTGAAGAATTGATGCTTTTGAATTCTGGTGCTGGAGGAGACTCTTGAGAGCCCCATGGACTGCAAGAAGATCAAAGCTCTCCATTCTGAAGGAAATCAGCCCTGAGTGCTCACTGGAAGGACAGATCCTGAAGCTGAGGCTCCAAGACTTTGGCCACCTCATGAGAAGAGAAGACTCCCTGGAAAAGACCCTGATGTTGGGAAAGATGGAGGGCAGAAGGAGAAGGGGACGACAGAGGACGAGATGGTGAGACAGTGTTCTCGAAGCTACCAGCATGAGTTTGACCAAACTGCGGGAGGCAGTGGAAGACAGGAGTGCCTGGTGTGCTCCGGTCCAGGGGGTCACGAAGAGTCGGACACGACTAAACAACTAAACAACAACAGAATGTGTGCTTTTATTTAAAATGCATCTCTGGGTTATTTGTGGGGGCATTGGAATTGATTCATTATTATTTTTTCAAAATATAGCCCGGCCCCCCACAGGGTCTGAAGGACAGTGGACCGGCCCCCTGCTGATAAAGTTTGCTGACCCCTGGGCTAGGGACTGGGAGACTGGGGTTCAAATCCCACAGTGAAGTGCCCTAAAATACATACCTGGACTTGTTTCGATTAATGTCTGCAGGGAACTTTGAGGATATTTAAGTTATAATTGGAAAAATCCTAATAACTATTCAAAAAGGACACAGTTTATAAGAAGTAAATCAGGAGGCCAGATACAGGATAAAGGAAGTCTTTTATTTGGTTGTTTGTATTGTTGCATGTTATGTTCAATGTATGTTATGTTCACGTTTAATGTGTATTGGGGAGGGTGGGGGTTGTGTTATGTTGTAAATTAAATTCCAATAAAATCAATCAATTAATCAATAAATCAAATCCCCATGTGAAGGTCACTGGGTGTGCCCTTGGCCAGTCACTCATCCGTTGTAGGGATAAACTGAGATAGGGGGAAGAAATATGTGTGCCACTTAGAGCTCCTTGCAGAAAAGGTGAGATACAAAAGTAAAATGAATAAAATCCAAACTACAGATCTTGTCCTCATATCCATTTACCATCCTCACAGCTTCCCAGAGACCGTTCCCTGCTCTGTCAACACCAGATCCCAACAGGTCAAGCCAGAAAAGCCACATTCTTTGCTCACGGGAACAGGTGTACTGCAGTCCAGAAAAGAGGCCTCATTGTGTTGGGGGGAAAAGAGCCAACTCAGGTGTCCAGTGAAGCTGCCTGCCTTATGCAGGACCTTTGATTTGCAATGAACTTTATCCTGACCGCCACCGAGTAAAACAAATCCCTCTTACACCCTTTTCGCAGCTGGGAAGATCAAGGCCGGAACAAAGCCACTGTGATCCACAGCCAAGGGAGATTTGCATGTGGATATGATATAAATATAAATAGAGTCCCATAGTTGGATTATACAAGCATCTTGGTCTCACAGCGGCCAGCCAGGAGACCACTCCCCCCTCTCAAGTACAAAGCAGGTAGCCGTGTTGGTCTGCCATAGTCAAAATTAAAAAAATCCTTCCAGTAGCACATTAGAGACCAACTAAGTTTGTTATTAAATGGGTCGCAGGTGGCGCTGTGGGTTAAACCACAGAGCCTAGGACTTGTCGATTAAAAGGTCGGCAGTTCGAATCCCCGCGACGGGGTGAGATCCCGTTTCTCGGTCCCTGCTCCTGCCAACCTAGCAGTTCAAAAGCACGTCAAAGTGCAAGTAGATCAATAGGTACTGCTCCAGCGGGAAGGTAAACAGCGTTTCCGTGCACTGCTCTGGTTTGCCAGAAGCGGCTTAGTCATGCTGGCCACATGACCCGGAAGCTGTATGCCGGCTCCCTCGGCCAATAAAGCAAGATGAGCGCCGCAACCCCAGAGTCGGCCACGACTGGACCTAATGGTCAGGGGTCCCTTTACCTTTAAGCATGTTATTGGTATGAGCTTTCCCACCACCCTTCTGATTAATACCCCTCCCCACCATCTCACGATATATAAGGGTCTGGTGACTTCTGTTTCAGTGTATCTGAAGAAGTGTGCATGCACATGAAAGCTCATACCAATAACAAACTTAGTTGGTCTCTAAGGTGCTACTGGAAGGAATTTTTTAATTTTGTTTTAAGTACAGTGGTACCTCAGGTTACATATTCTTCAGGTTACATACGCTTCAGGTTACAGACTCCGCTAACCCAGAAATAGTACCTTGGGTTAAGAACTTTGCTTCAGGATGAGAACAGAAATCATGCTCCGGCGGCGCAGCAGCAGCAGGAGGCCCCATTAGCTAAAGTGGTGCTTCAGGTTAAGAACAGTTTCAGGTTAAGAACGGACCTCCAGAACGAATTAACTTCTTAACCCGAGGTACCACTGTACAAAGCATTTTCCTGGCTCAGAGACTTTGCACCCTGTGTGATCTCTGCCTCCTATGCGCATGCATGCACACACAGTCATTTTCCATAGTGAGAAACAGGAATCGCAGGACCAGCCATCAGCAGACTATGACTCAGCCCCTTTCCTTCTGAGCAGAAGCGGCAACACAGGCAGATCCAGGCCCATCAGAGATGCCCGGGGAATTTTACTGCTTGAAGCCGTTTTTCAATTATTGCTTTTATTACAGCACAACTTCTGGGGAGGCTGCGTTAGGAGCTTTCCAAGGGTAGGAAAACAGAATAAACACATGAGAAAGGAATACCGTATTTTTCGCTCTATAAGACGCACCAGACCATAAGACGAACTTAGTTTTTGGAGGAGGAAAACAAGAAAAAAAATATTCTGAATCTCAGAAGCCAGAACAGCAAGAGGGGTCTCTGCGCAGCGAAAGCAGCAATCCCTCTTGCTGTTCTGGCTTCTGGGATAGCTGCGCAGCCTGCATTCGCCCCTTAAGACGCACACACATTTCCCCTTGCTTTTTAGGAGGGAAAAAGTGAGTCTTATAGAGCAAAAAATACGGTAGATTACCAAGAACACTCCTGATGTAATACAGTGAAGGTAACGTAACTTTTGGGTTGCGAACGCTGCAAACCCAGAAGTATATACTTATGGGTTTCGTTGCGCTTGCTTGCACCACAATAGGTGTGGGTTCCTCTCCCATAGCATGGATATAAGAATAGCAACCAAGCAGCTCCGAAAGGCATTGCAGTTGAAGATGCCCAAAAGCAAAAGTGGGAAACCCTACCGAATAGACTCTGACTAGAGAGCAGGTAAGAACAACAGGAAGGAATTAATTGGGTATTTTGCTTGTACTTCCTTGTCCCATAGGATCCCCAACATTTCCCAATTACTGGTGCCATTACAGGAAGGTGACTGTGATTTGAATGGCATTGGAAGGCACCACATAAATCTCTTAACTGCTTCAGCTTTTCCCAAAGAATCTTGGGGTTACTATCAGACTGAAGCCCATTTTCCAAAAAGAAGAGCAATGTTCATTTCATAGCATTTATATGCCACCTGACTGTAGAAAACCTCAAAGTGGTCCTTGATGCCAATATCCTTAATAATGGCAAGCAGAAAGTGCTCTCGCTCCGTCTCCTATTTGTATGACTTTTGCCTGGCTACGTCACCCTCCATTTTATTTTACTATATTGATGGCCCGAAATCCTATTTGCTCAACAGTTGGTGGCTGACTAGCCGTGAAGCCTATTATTATTATTTTATTAAATTTGTATACTGCCCTATAACCTCAGGTTATTACAAATACACCTTACACGGCTCATTTTTGATCTTGAAGTCAGCAGTACATCAACATCCAGAGACTTGAGACATTTTGAAGAACACTTGCCAAGAGTCACTCTGCCAGAACCTAAGGCACCCATTGTGGGTTTCTTTTTAAAATTCTCTTCCCCAAGCACAAGGTGCTGCTTCCATAGCACAAGAGCAGGCATCCCTAAACTCGGCCCTCCAGATGTTTTGGGACTACAATTCCCATCATCCCTGACCACTGGTCCTGTTAGCTAGGGATCATGGGAGTTGTAGTCCCAAAACATCTGGAGGGCCGAGTTTGGGGATGCTTGTGCAAGAGAGTTCATCCATTTAATGAACTTCTGTTCCCTAGGACTACAACTCCCATCAGCCCCAGCAGGCATAACTGTAGTCCCCAAAAAATGGAAGGCAATAGAAGCTGAGGCTCCAATACTTTGGCCACCTCATGAGAAGAGAAGACTCCCTGGAAAAGACCCTGGTGTTGGGAAAGATTGAGGGCACAAGGAGAAGGGGATGACGGAGGACGAGATGGTGGGACAGTGTTGTCGAAGCTACCAGCATGAGTTCAACCAAACTGCGGGAGGCAGTGGAAGACAGGAGTGCCTGGCGTGCTCTGGTCCCGGGGGTCACGAAGAGTCAGACACGACTAAACGCCTAAACAACAAAGGCCAGGGGAGGCTGGCCCAGGGGCTACGTGCATCAGGCCACTGCCAACCTGAAGAGGCTACCAGGTGCACAAGAGTATTAATTGGATGTGGCAAGGAAAGTGTATGTGACAGAGCAACTGAATATAATTTGGATCTAGGCAGATATGGAGACAAAGAGAATGGCAGGCACGAAGTGTGCTAAGTCATTCATTGGGGGCAGAAGAGCAGCCCAATTAAAGAGACTGAGTCAGGAGTTCAGAAGATGAGCCTGGAGATTGTTTGTCGAGACTAAAGGCCCTAAATACACCCACATTTTCTCCCACACTCTCACGTCATCACCCGTCACGCCTCGCAACCTTCCTTCCTATCCCGATGAGCCTTCCCCTTTGATGTATTTTAAATTTTTGTTGGAGGCTGCCCAGAGTGGGAAACCCAGCCAGATGGGCGGGGCACAAATAAATTATTATTATTATTATTATTATTTTATCGTGTCCGACTCTTCGTGACCTCATGGACCAGAGCACGCCAGGCACTCCTGTCTTCCACTACTTCCCGCAGTTTGGTCAAACTCATGCTGGTAGCTTCGAGAACACTGTCCTGCCATCTCGTCCTCTGTCGTCCCCTTCTCCTTGCGCCCTCCATCTTTCCCAACATCAGGGTCTTTTCCAGGGAGTCTTCTCTTCTCATGAGGTGGCCAAAGTCTTGGAGCCTCAGCTTCACGATCTGTCCTTCCAGTGAGCACTCAGGGCTGATTTCCTTCAGAATGGAGAGCTTTGATCTTCTTGCAGTCCATGGGACTCTCAAGAGTCTCCTCCAGCACCAGAATTCAAAAGCATCCATTCTTCGGCGATCAGCCTTCTTTATGGTCCAGCTCTCACTTCCATACATCACTGCTGGGAAAACCATAGCTTTAACTATATGGACCTTTGTTGGTAAGGTGATGTCTCTGCTTTTTAAGATGCTGTCTAGGTTTGCCATCGCCTTTCTCCCAAGGAGCAGGCGTCTTTTAATTTCGTGACTGCTGTCACCATCTGCAGTGATTTATTATTATTATTATTATTACCCTCTCACCAAACTGCACTTCAAGGCCTGCTCCCAATTTCTTGACCTTGATTTCTCAAGAACGCTCTTCACTGATCAACCATCACATCAAGGGAGCACACTCAGTTCCCATTTAGGTCAGAAACCCCTCAGCCCAGCGAATCTCAGGTTTTGAGATTGCACTCCTCAACTTTCTGCTCCCCAAACCACCGCCAACCGCCTGCTCCATAACAGCACGCAGAGAGGTCCCCACATGCAAGCAATAAACAAACAACAACAACAAACAATAATAATAAGCCCCAGCTTCTTATGCTCAGGGCTCCACATCAAGAAAATACCGTATTTTTTGCTCTATAAGACCCACTTTTCCCCTCCTAAAAAGTAAGGGGAAATGTGTGTGCGTCTTATGGGGCAAATGCAGGCTGCGCAGCTATTCCAGAAGCCAGAACAGCAAGAGGGATTGCTGCTTTCGCTGCACAGCGATCCCTCTTGCTGTTCTGGCTTCTGGAATTCAGGATATTTTTTCCCTTGTTTTCCTTCTCCAAAAACAAGGTGCGTCTTGTGGCCTGGTGCGTCTTATAGAGCGAAAAATACGGTGCTCAGCCTCCTCCCTAGAACCATACCTTAGCACTTGAGGGGTATGTTTTTAAGACCCGCCAAATAACTGGGAGTTGTTCTGAACCTCCCCCCCCCTTTTGGTGCTGTGTTGCTAACCCACCCTGGGACCTTCGGCTTGAAGGCTTCTCAAAGGGTGTGGCAGGGCAGGAAGATCCAAGGGCAATCCAGGAAACTGTTAAAACATTGTACTGCATATAACATATAATTATACTTTGGGAAAGATTTGTGCCGCTTGTGCGTTGCTCTATGCTTCCTGGATGTCCTGGGATAATAATCTAAAGTAGTTGTGTTCTATGTTATAAATCAAGCACCGCTCAGAGTTGCTCCCCACCCCCCCCACCCCCGTTTTCCAAGGTGTTCCTTATCTATAATAAAAAAAATTGGCAAGCAAAATTGTTGGTTCGAAAGTGTGGCCTCAGAGCAGGGGGAAAGGTTTGAGAACCACTAGGCATTATTATTATTATTATGCCTGCTCCTACCTCCTAGGCCTCTGCCTCTTCCCCATCCCGCCCCCACTAGGCTAATAATAATAATGATAATGCTGTCTCCCCTCCCCCTTACACCTCTGCCCCTCCCCTTCCCCACTAGGCTAATAGTAATAATAATGATAATAATAATGATGCTGCTGCCTTCCTCTACCCCCTCCCCCATAGGCCTCTGCCCCTCCCCTCCCCCACTAGGCTGATAGTAATAATAACAATGCTGCTGCCTGCCCCTCCCGCTTATGCCTCTGCCCCTCCCCCACTGGGATAATAATAATAATAATAATAATAATAATAATAATAATAATAATGCTGTCTATCCCCCCTTAGGCCTCTGCCCCTCCACCTCCCACTAGGCTAATAATAATAATAATCATGCTGCTGCCCGCCCCTCCCCCTTAGTCCTCTGCCCCTCCCCCACTGGGATAATATTAATACTTCAATATAATAATAATAATAATCATGCTGCTGCCCGCCCCTCCCCCTTAGTCCTCTGCCCCTCCCCCACTGGGATAATATTAATACTTCAATATAATAATAATAATAATAATAATAATCATGCTGCTGCCTGCCCCTCCCCCTTAGTCCTCTGCCCCTCCCCCACTGGGATAATATTAATACTTCAATATAATAATAATAATAATAATAATAATAATAATAATCATGCTGCTGCCCGCCCCTCCCCCTTAGTCCTCTGCCCCTCCCCCACTGGGATAATATTAATACTTCAATATAATAATAATAATAATAATAATAATAATAATAATCATGCTGCTGCCCGCCCCTCCCCCTTAGTCCTCTGCCCCTCCCCCACTGGGATAATATTAATACTTCAATATAATAATAATAATAATAATAATAATAATCATGCTGCTGCCTGCCCCTCCCCCTTAGTCCTCTGCCCCTCCCCCACTGGGATAATATTAATACTTCAATATAATAATAATAATAATAATAATAATAATAATAATCATGCTGCTGCCTGCCCCTCCCCCTTAGTCCTCTGCCCCTCCCCCACTGGGATAATATTAATACTTCAATATAATAATAATAATAATAATAATAATAATAATCATGCTGCTGCCCGCCCCTCCCCCTTAGTCCTCTGCCCCTCCCCCACTGGGATAATATTAATACTTCAATACAATAATAATAATCATGCTGCTGCCCGCCCCTCCCCCTTAGTCCTCTGCCCCTCCCCCACTGGGATAATATTAATACTTCAATACAATAATAATAATCATGCTGCTGCCCGCCCCTCCCCCTTAGTCCTCTGCCCCTCCCCCACTGGGATAATATTAATACTTCAATATAATAATAATAATCATGCTGCTGCCCGCCCCTCCCCCTTAGTCCTCTGCCCCTCCCCCACTGGGATAATATTAATACTTCAATATAATAATAATCATCATGCTGCTGCCCGCCCCTCCCCCTTAGTCCTCTGCCCCTCCCCCACTGGGATAATATTAATACTTCAATATAATAATAATAATAATCATGCTGCTGCCCGCCCCTCCCCCTTAGTCCTCTGCCCCTCCCCCACTGGGATAATATTAATACTTCAATATAATAATAATAATCATGCTGCTGCCCGCCCCTCCCCCTTAGTCCTCTGCCCCTCCCCCACTGGGATAATATTAATACTTCAATATAATAATAATAATAATCATGCTGCTGCCCGCCCCTCCCCCTTAGTCCTCTGCCCCTCCCCCACTGGGATAATATTAATACTTCAATATAATAATAATAATAATCATGCTGCTGCCCGCCCCTCCCCCGTAGTCCTCTGCCCCTCCCCCACTGGGATAATATTAATACTTCAATATAATAATAATAATAATCATGCTGCTGCCCGCCCCTCCCCCTTAGTCCTCTGCCCCTCCCCCACTGGGATAATATTAATACTTCAATATAATAATAATAATAATCATGCTGCTGCCCGCCCCTCCCCCTTAGTCCTCTGCCCCTCCCCCACTGGGATAATAATAATAATAATCCTGCCCTAGTGCCCCCTCCGCCCCTCCCCCCCCCGCGCCTCCCACCTTCTTGACGGCCTGCTGGAAGCCGAACTCTCCCGCCTCCTTGAGGTCCAGCCAGATCATGGGCATGCGGGGCACGGCCTCCATCCCGCCGGCCTCGCCCCCCGGGCCCCGACGCGGCGCAGCACCAGCCCGGCCCCTGCCAGGAGGCAGCCCAAGCCCGGCCCGGCCCGACAAGCAGCAGCAGCAGCAGCAGGAGAAGGAAGAGGACGCGGCTGAGGGGGCTCCTCCGGCCCGGCCCGACTTCCGGCGCCCCGCCCACTCCCCGCCGGAAGCCGCGGCGCCTGACGGGAAGCGGAGTCCCGGCTCCCGGGGACGCCGCCAAGAGGGCGCGGAAGGCGCTCGGGGGACTACAACTCCCAGAAGCCCCGGCCGCCGGCCACGCTTGCTAGGGGCTGATGGGAGTTGTAGTTCGGCAAGCACTGAAGGGCGCGCAGGTGTTGAGGGAGCGCATCTGGACAGCTGTGCGCAGGATTCCTGCAATGCAGGGCGGGGTTGGACTAGATGACCCTCAGGGGTCCCTTTCTGGGATTCCAGACCCTATTTTCCTTTTTTTTACCCCCATGGTAATCTTCATTAGTTTTATAAGTACAGTGGTACCTCAGGTTACAGATGCTTCAGGTTACAGTCTCCGCTAACCCAGAAACAGTACCTCGGATTAAGAACTTTGCTTCAGGGTGAGAACAGAAATCGTGCTCTGGCAGCGCAGCAGCAGTGGGAAACCCCATTAGCTAAGGTGGTGCTCAAGGTTAAGAACAGTTTCAGGTTAAGAACGGACCTCCGGAACGAATTAAGTACTTAACCAGAGGTACCACTGTACATGGACGCGGGTGGCGCTGTGGGTTAAACCACAGAGCCTAGGACTTGCCGATCAGAAGGTCGGTGGTTCGAATCCCCGCCATGGGGTGAGCTCCCGTTGCTCGGTCCCTGCTCCTGCCCACCTAGCAGTTCGAAAGCACGTCAAAGTGCAAGTAGATAAATAGGTACCGCTCCGGTGGGAAGGTAAACAGTGTTTCCATGCGCTGCTCTGGTTCGCCAGAAGCGGCTTAGTCCTGCTGGCCACATGACGCGGAAGCTGTATGCCGGCTCCCTCGGCCAGTACAGCGAGATGAGCGCCACAACCCCAGTCGGCCACGACTGGACCTAACGGTCAGGGATCCCTTTACCTTCACCTTACCACTGTACATACTACACATACACACATTCCATTCCATTTTACACTTGCTCTTAAGAGCTGACTTTGCTCCTTCCTTCTTCTGGCTTTTTTATGTCGTCTCTACATTTTTCGCATTATCAGCCCCTATTTTCCAGGGACAGTCCCGGATTTACAGAAGCCCAGACCCGGTTTCTGATTTTATCCCGGAATGTCCCACTTTTCCTTAAAGGTTAAGGGACCTCTGACCATTAGGTCCAGTCGCGAACAACTCTGGGGTTGCGGCGCTCATCTCGCTTTGTTGGCCCAGGGAGCCGGTGTTCAGCTTCCGGGTCATGTGGCCAGCATGACTAAGCCGCTTCTGGTGAAACCAGAGCAGCGCACGTAAACGCCATTTACCTTCCCGCCAGAGCGGTACCTATTTATCTACTTGCACTTTGAAGTGCTTTCGAACTGCTAGGTTGGCAGGAGCAGGGACTGAGGAACAGGAGCTCACCCCGACGCGGGGATTCAAACCGCCGACCTTCTGATCGGCAAGCCCTAGGCTCTGTGGTTTAACCCACAGCACCACCCGCGTCCCTCACTTTTCCTTAGGATGCCCCTATTTCCATCGGGGAAAGGTTGGAGGGGATGAGATTCTACGATTCTAATAAATCTGTGATAGACCAATGCCAACAGCAACTTCAGGGAATGCCATTAACGGTGCAGTGATCTTGGTAGATCAGCAGGTGGCAATGGAGATCCTCAATTTCAACTGAGCACCCTGAGGTTTGGTTCAGACTTGCGGGTGGCAAAAAAGTTTGGGATCCCAGGGCTTGGATGCAGAAGGGAAGCACCAGTCATATGACTCTATTGCAACAAAAGCAACCAAGTGCCATGTAGCCCTTGGAAAATTTAGTATACAGTGGTACCTCAGGTTACAGACGCTTCAGGTTACATACGCTTCAGGTTGTAGTGTCTGCTAACCCAGAACTATTACCTCGGGTTAAGAATTTGCTTCAGGTTGAGAACAGAAATCGTACAGCGGCAGCAGGAGGCCCCATTAGCTAAAGTGGTGCTTCAGGTTAAGAACAGTTTCAGGTTAAGAATGGACCTCAGGAATGAATTAAGTTCTTAACCCGAGGTACCGCTGTATTTTAGATACAATACCTCTATTGTTAAAACCTAAGATAGCTTCCGAAGGTGTTCATTCTCTTAACTGCATGTTCTTTTCTTCCTGTGCAATATATGATATTAAAATAATACTCTTGGGATAAGTATTGGGTGGTGCAGCAGTCGGTGGGTTTAACACGGGTCAGCAAACTTTTTCAGCAGGGGGCCGGTCCATTCTCCCTCACACCTTGTGGGGGGCCGGACGAAAAGAAATAAAGAATTTGTATGCCCCACAAATAACCCAGAGATGCATTTTAAATAAAAGGACACATTCTTGATGTTGTTTAGTTGTGTCTGCCTCTTTGGCCACTATCTGAATGATAATCTTGGATATTTGATTGCCCTTTTTACCCATTGTTGTCTTTTTAATTGTATATGTTGTTGTTTAGTCGTATAGTCATGTCCGACTCTTCGTGACCCCCTGGACCAGAGCACGGCAGGCACTCCTGTCTTCCACTGCCTCCCACAGTTTGGTCAGACTCATGCTGGTAGCTTCGAGAACACTGTCCAACCATCTCGTCCTCTGTCTTCCCCTTCTCCTTGTGCCCTCCATCTTTCCCAGCATCTGGGTCTTTTCCAGGGAGTCTTCTCTTCTCATGAGGTGGCCAAAGTCTTGGAGCCTCAGCTTCAGGATCTGTCCTTCCAGTGAGCACTCAGGGCTGATTTCCCTAAGGATGGATAGGTTTGATCTTCTTGCAGTCCATGGGACTCTCAAGAGTCTCCTCCAGCACCAGAATTCAAAAGCATCCATTCTTCGGCGATCAGCCTTGTTTATGGTCCAGCTCTCACTTCCATACATCACTACTGGGAAAACCATAGCTTGAACTATGCGGACCTTTGTTGGCAAGGTGATGTCTCTGCTTTTTAAGATGCAACTCATGTAAAAACACGCTGGTTCCCGGACCATCTGCGGGCTAGATTTAGAAGGCGATGGGGCCCGATCTAGCCCCTGGGCCTTAGTTTGCCTATCCATGGACTAGGACCTGGGAAAGACCAATTTCCCTCTCCGCCAGGAAGCTCCCTGGGCCAGTCAATGTGTCTAACCTACCTGACAGCGATGTTGTGGGGATTAAAGTGCCTGAGGAAACGCAGCCAGATGGGCGGGGTATAAATAATAAATAATAAATTATTATTATTATTATTAAAATGATGTGGGCAAGATCCATGTATGCCACCTTGAGCCTCTTGGAGAAAAGTGTAGGATTCATAGGCATCCATCTGTCTCAAGAGACAATGGAGTGCGCCTACAAGGGGTCAAGAAGGGACGCAGGTGGCGCTGTGGGTTAAACCACAGAGCCTAGGACTTGCTGATCAGAAGGTTGGTGATTCGAATCCCCGCGACAGGGTGAGCTCCCATTGCTCGGTCCCTGCTCCTGCCAACCTAGCAGTTCAAAAGCACCTCAAAGTGCAAGTAGATAAATAGGTACCGCTCCGGCGGGAAGGTAAACGGCATTTCTGTGCGCTGCTCTGGTTCGCCATTTATAGCCAGGTCGCTTCTAGACAACCTGGTTGTTGAACATTCAGACCGATTGCTTTGCAGGGTGTTTATGAACACAACCAAGTTACAGGGAACCAGGCAGAGGGCCTTCTCGGTGGTGGCCCCCGCCCTGTGGAACGCCCTCCCACCAGATGTCAAAGAGAAGAACAACTAACTGACTTTTAGAAGACTTCTGAAGGCAGCCCTGTTTAGGGAAGCTTTTAATCTTTAATAGATTATTGTATTTTAATATTCTGTTGGAAGCCGCCCACAGTGGCTGGGGAAGCCCAACCAGATGGGCAGGTATAAATAAATAAATTATTATTATTATTATTATTATTATTATTATTATTATTATTATTATTATTATTATTACTATAATCATCATCACTGGAAAACTGGAACTCCCTGCCTGTTGACATCAGGCAGATGCACTCCTTTTGGTGTCTGCTGAAAACATTTTTTTCCAGCAATTCTCTACAATTCTAGTCTGGCACCCCTAGCACTGCACCAATGCTGCTTCCCTCTTTGGCGGTGCGTCTCCCTGCTTTGCCCTTTTGTTGTTGTTTAGTCGTTTAGTCGTGTCCGACTCTTCGTGACACCCTGGACCAGAGCACGCCAGGCACCTCTGTCCTCCACTACATCCTGCAGTTTGGTCAAACTCATGCTGGTAACCTCGAAAATACTATCCAACCATCTCGTCCTCTATCGTCCCCTTCTCCTTGTGCCCTTCATCTTTCCCAGCATCAGTGTCTTCTCCAGGGAGTCTTCTCTTCTCATGAGGTGGCCAAAGTCTTGGAGCCTCAGCTTCAGGATCTGTCCTTCCAGTGAGCACTCAGGGCTGATTTCCTTCAGAATGGAGAGGTTTGATCTTCTTGCAGTCCATGGGACTCTCAAGAGTCTCCTCCAGCACCAGAATTCAAAAGCATCCATTCTTCGGCGATCAGCCTTCTTTATGGTCCAGCTCTCACTTCCATACATCACTGCTGGGAAAACCATAGCTTTAACTATATGGACCTTTGTTGGTAAGGTGATGTCTCTGCTTTTTAAGATGCTGTCTAGGTTTGCCATCGCCTTTCTCCCAAGGAGCAGAACAGAAATCGTACAGCGGCAGCAGGAGGCCCCATTAGCTAAAGTGGTGCTTCAGGTTAAGAACAGTTTCAGGTTAAGAATGGACCTCAGGAATGAATTAAGTTCTTAACCCGAGGTACCGCTGTATTTTAGATACAATACCTCTATTGTTAAAACCTAAGATAGCTTCCGAAGGTGTTCATTCTCTTAACTGCATGTTCTTTTCTTCCTGTGCAATATATGATATTAAAATAATACTCTTGGGATAAGTATTGGGTGGTGCAGCAGTCGGTGGGTTTAACACGGGTCAGCAAACTTTTTCAGCAGGGGGCCGGTCCATTCTCCCTCACACCTTGTGGGGGGCCGGACGAAAAGAAATAA